CCGCAATAGAAAACGTTCGAAACAACGCCGTCAAATTTCTCACAATCCAAAAAACCAAGCCCGTTTATACCAAAAAAATTCCTTGAGTTTGGGGTCCGACCCGCTTTAACCTTATCAACGAGGATGCTTCTGCTTAAGAATGGCCGAATAGCACAAAAGGTTAAAAAGGGTTTCCCCAAAAGCGCTTATAACGTAACAAGAACACGTAGTATCCAACAATAGATTAATACTCAAGAAGTACTCAAGAAGAGTACGGATCGGATTGATACTACGTCGATGGTGACACAAATGTTAGTAAAACAGTCTCTCTACAATGTTAAACCAGTTATCTAAACAGGATTTAAAACCTGAAGGGTAGCATAAAGTAAAGTGAATTTATAACGTTACTGTTTATTAGTACAGAACCGAAATGCAACAATACCTATTACAAAAACAGAAAAAAACAAAAATGAAACAACAAAGTCCCCCGAGAAAGAAGGAAAAAAACCTGCAGACCAGAAAAAAAAATTTCGGGAAAGGAGAAAAAGGACGAAAAATGCGACGCGAATAATTGCAAAATAGCAACGCAAATAGGAAGGAAACGGACGCGACCCTTGCGTTCTGAAGCTTTGATCGGACTTTGCGATTTGAATTTGCGATGGAACTTTGCTCGAAAAAGCTTTGATTTTTATACTTGAACCAAAAGGAAAGTTCCCAAAGAAAAGAGATTTTTGCGAAAAAAACCGTTGTCTCGTCAATATTCTTGGATCAAAATTTTGGACCTTGATGCTCCATTAGTTTCATTCGATACTCCAAACGATATTTGTTTTAAATTTGAAGCAGTACCTTGTGGGGATACAAACTGTGCATCTTTGGCTTTTATCTTTTGTTGTGTTGTTGTGTGAAATTATGTTCTATTTCATCGACGAATGTCATCAATGTTGAAGTTTTGTTGTTTTTATGATTTTTTTGTTGTTTGTTGTTGTTGTTTGTTGTTCGTTGTTTTTGTTGTTTGTTGTTTTTGCTGTTGTTGTTTGTTGTTGTTGTTTGTTGTTGTTGTTTTTGTTGTTGTTTTTGTTGTTTGTTGTTGTTGTTTGTTGTTGTTTGTTGTTCGTTGTTTTTGTTGTTTGTTGTTTTTGCTGTTGTTGTTTGTTGTTGTTGTTTGTTGTTGTTTTTGTTGTTTGTTGTTCGTTGTTTTTGTTGTTTGTTGTTGTTGCTGTTGTTTTGTTGTTGTTGTTGTTGTTGTTTTCTTGTTTAAATGAATAATCGTTGTTTAAAGTTAAAAGTAAACATTTTATGATTAAATTAAAATAAATTTGTATTTGAAAAACTCAGGGTCTGTTTTCTGCGATTCCATACAAAACTTTAAGCGCTTATAACTTTTGACAGAGTGCTGCGTTGCAAAAACGAAAAGCAGATTCGCAATCAGCGCAAAATTCCACGTCGGTTAGTATATAGCTCATGTCATTTGGCCACGTCAGCCTTGTGACATTCCCTTGTCAGTTGGTCAACTGAATATCTTTAGAGACCCATTTTGAACGCTCATTTATCTATGAAATATTAACTTTTTAAAAAACTGTTCACTCGTCATTTGGCCAAGAACGCAAGGAATTTTGTGGTATAAAACTTGAACCGGCTTGGGTTTTTGGATCGTGAGAAATTTGACGGCGCTGTTTTGAACGTTTTCTATTCGACGCTGTTTTAACTATATCCCGTTTTCGGTGCTTTACAGCTGAAACTCTAAAGAACACTGGGATACTTGCAGTAATACCTGTAACAGAGGCCTTTATTGTTTACATTGTGTTGGTTATGCTTGGTTTATGGCGCTTTGCAGCTAGTAGCTAAATGACACTGGACATTTGCCCTAAGCCCTGTGTTAGCCTTCTCTAATTGAAGTCCTTTTGTCTAGTGTAAGAAAATATCACGCCAAGATAAAATAGAACATCAAAGTGTTTAAGTGAACCAGTATTATGGTAAGAGCCCGAGACAGCTACCTGCAAAAGTTTAGTGAAGAGTCAAGTACAGTACTCCTATTAGAGCTGTAAAACCGTATTTTCAAATATAGTAACCCATCTGCATCTATCAATCTACCAAGAAAACACTTCAATTTCAAGCTTTCAATTTTCTTCATCGATGATTCACCAAAAAAAAAGAGAGAGTTGGGGGAGGGAACATGTGTGTCGGGCAATGAAACCACCGCGGGTCTTTTTCTTAAAAGCTAGGAGGAAATCTCTAACGAGCCATCCCCCGACCCGCTTTCAACTAATGCCAGAGAGGACCCATAAAGCATAATGAGCTAAAGGCTCACATTTGAGATTTCCACCGAATTCTATGTGGGTTAAAATGTGAGTCTTAAAAAAATTGACGACCAAAGATAAGAAAAATTTTTGTCTGTGAATTTCAAAGTTCAAAGGGCGCTATACGGGTTGGCACATCCGCGCGAAATATCCTAAAATTGTTTTCTATAGGATTTTTACGTTTGAATTGTCATTCGACGCAGAAAAATGTGTTGAATTCAACGGTGAAAAAATTATCAAAATGGAGGGTGCGGCCTCAAAAATGACCCTGGCAAGTGCCTTTCCTAGGGTTTTCGGCTACGCTGGATCGATTGGTAATATTTTTAGAACGTGTTTGTGACTTATTTCTTTGTGGTCAAGGTAGTCTAGCTTATGTTCGGTAACAGGCAGCCACTCTGCTCTGAGGTAGCCAATCTTAACCTATGCCCGACCAATACTCGAACGTGATTGAGCATACCAGACTGTGCTTGGTCAGTACGCTATAAGTGCCTTAGCCTAGATAAATAACACGCAAACAACGCGGTACACGTCATGATGGAGGTATGTAACACGTCTAGACCGTTAACAACACTCGAGACAGCATCAAGCCTATGCTCATCCAGTACTCTGAGCCATAATCTAGTATAAGCTTAGTGTAGCAAGTACAAGCTCTGAAAATATTACCAATCGATTTAGCGTGGCCGAAAACCCTAGAAAAACTGTTTTTAGCACGTGCCAGAGGCATTTTTGAGACCCCGCCCACTGCCGCCCAACCCGTGTAGCCCGTTCAAAACTTTAGCTTGAGCATTTAAAAGATATGACAAATGCGACCTTTTTTTGCGCACCTGGACATTTGCCCACCTTTTTTTTGCTGGAAAAGGCCTTAGGCAAGGCCGTAGAGCTTCGAAAATATTTCCATATAAGGGCATCGTATGCGTAGATTCCGAATTTCGACAAATCAGACCTGGCTGACACGTCAAATTTGGGCTAAAAGGCAAAAACTGCGGAAAAGTTGCGTTTTAAGTTGCGTAGTTTTTGCCTTTTAGCCCAAATTTGACGTGTCAGCGAGGTCTGATTTGTCGGAATTCGGAATCTACGCATACGATGCCCTTCTATGAAAACATTTTTGAAGCTCTACGACCTTTCCTAAGGCCTTTTCCAGCAAAAAAAGGTGCGCAAAAAAAAGGTCGCATTTGTCCCACCCCCAAAAAATAAACAAACTAGCTTTCTATTTTGCAAGGTCGGAGATTACTGTAATCACTTGCGACTTTTACGACAAATTTATTTTTTTATTTTTTCATTCAACAGCGCGGAAGTTTTTCATTTTCTTCTATATTTTCATAACAACCTTACACTTTTTACTTTAGAAATGGGTATCACTCGTGACAATTGGCACAAACGAAGAGGAACCGGAGGCAAACGTGCGCAACCACACGACAAGAGAAAGCACGAACTTGGACGTCCAGCCGCCAACACAAAAATCGGTGAGAAGAGGGTTCACTCGGTGAGATGTCGTGGTGGAATCATCAAGCGACGGGGACTTCGTCTGAATGCTGGAAACTACTCGTGGGGCTCTGAAGGTTTGTTTGTTTTTGTCTTTAATAAAATTAAGTACAGCAAATGTTTGCTAAAATCTAGGATAATTCGGTTTTGTCTCATCGCAGTGCACCGTCTCACTGTTTCTCTTTTGGAACCGCGTATAGCGTTTAGGTTCATACGGAAAGAATCTACAAACACGTAGCCTATTGGGTTATAGATTTAAATGAGTTTTAAATTTGGTGTTAAACTAGTGGGCTGTTTTGCCAGCTTCTAATGGCAAGTCTTAAGACTTGCCATTAGAAGACTTCCTTTTTTAAGAAATGACGGGTTTAATAAAAGCACAATTCCTTATTGTTATTAATCTATTATTTTAGGTATTGCTGCTAAGACTCGCGTTTTGGACACTGTCTACAATGCCACCAGCAATGAACTCGTGCGGACAAAGACTTTGGTGAAAGGCACAATCGTTTCCATCGATGCACTACCGTTCCGCCAATGGTACGAGAACCATTACGCGATCCCACTCCCGCGAAAAAGAGGAACCAAATTGTCGGACGAAGACCAAGCCGCAATCGACGACAAGAAAGTGAACGGAAAGAGCACAAAGGAATACATTCTACGTCGACGCAAGGCAGCAATTGACCCAAAAGTCGCCGAACAATTTGCTACAGGAAAACTTTTAGGTAAGTGTTCGCTTTAATTTTTGATCTTGTCTTTATAGCGCGGATTTCGTCAAGTCCCGGCCAGGTTGGACGATGTGATGGTTACGTTCTCGAAGGAAAGGAATTAGAATTTTATCTTCGCAAGCTGCGATCCAAGAAGTAATCTTGTTGTTTAGATGTTTCTAAAATAAATGTTTTTCTGTTTGATTAGTGAAAAAGAAAGTGCAGCTTAATAAAAAGGAAATCTAATGTGATTATGATTGGCATATGCTGAATGCTTTGGACTCGATTAGATCTTGGGTATTGAGTTCTTTAACGTTTTAGACTCAATACACTGCTCTAAATAAAAGGAGGAAACGTGTATTCTCTTGTTGAATCTCAAGTGCTGGTTTTTTCTGAGAATTGTCACCCGACAATCAAGTCTTGGCTTTTAATATTTTTGAATCCTTTATTAAAACTTCAACAAGCAACTTTAACAAATAACAAACCCGCTTGAAAAAAGACTGAAGCAAAATAAAACAACATGAAAAAAAGGTCCGATCTATTTATTCTTTTTGAGATTTCTTTGTTTCTCCGCAGAGACTACAATCAAATCTTCTGTGGGTAGGCCTTTGCGTCGCCGAATCGCGTCCATATACCTAAGTAATAAAAAAAATTGCTTTTACTGACAGATAAAAAAACATACCCCTTCGCATGATTAATCGAGTCGCCTTTTGTGCCAAACTCTTCGAGTTCGTCTTGCGTTGTAGGCACCCAGTAGGGATCCTAAAAAGAAATTTAAAAGATTTCAAATTATACGTACTTCTTCTATGATTTGCCAATGTGAGAACTCGAGCTGCCCGCTGCCCATTCCACTTGTTCGCTTTCTAAAACAAACTTTTTAGGAATTTTAGCGTTTTATACAACCTCAAATGATCGGAAAAATCAAAGCTCTCGACCACCGGAAGGACTGCGTTAACTTCAAAGAGGCCGGTTGCTTCATTTATATCTTCTGATAATGTCTAAAAGTTATTTATTAGCAAAACAAATAATATTTATAGCGGCTCACCTTCGCTTTCCTTTGAGCAAGCACTGCATGAACCTTACCAAGAGCTGTGCTCGTCGTACTAATCACACATTTGTACATTGCCGCAACAAGTCTAAAAATGAAAATAAAAACCAAAATCCTGATAGAAAAACCTTGCTGGATGTTTTTTCATGGCAGCAGTGCACGTTTGTCTCATCGCATTAACAAGTTGACCAGCTGCTGCTGTATCCTAAATTAAGTAGTTGAGAACGTTTAAAGTTTTTTTTTAAAAAGTATAACAAAGCTCAGAAATACTTACAGTTTCATCTACAGTCCATTCTTCTAGAATCAGACCCACTCCCCTCAGTGGCTCATGACATAGCGGACCACCGCCGCAGAAAAGCTCCCATCCAGTCGTAATGTTGTTATCCAAAGGCCTCAACTGAATGTCATCGCCTAAATTAATGTTTAACCACGCTAACTTTTAAAATAAACTAACTTCTCCAAGCATTCCTCTGCTCATATCCCGGTATAGAATTGAAAAGAATGTTTTCTCGAGCCTTTTCTGGACCAAATCCCCAAATTTTGTCGAAGTACGCAGTAATCTTAACACGGCAAGTAAGCAGAAAGCAAAAAAAGCACAAGCTGACCTCTTCTGCGCTTTTCTTGAACCAATATGATCCTTTTAAAACTGGAAGCGTTTGGCAGGCGGCTGTGATCAATTTTTCCTGAAAGTTATAAAATGATTACTTAAAGTTAACGAAAACTTTGAAATGCAAAAGTTTGTTGCCATCGCATGTATTTTTTCTGATTTCAGAAAGAAGCTCGTTTGATTTCTCGAGTAACGTGACCACTTCCTCTAAAAACGAATGATATCTACAACTGGGATACTTCTTACCAGACAATGGAACAACTCTCAATTTTAAGTGCAGTGTGTCGTTTTGAAGTCGAGATTGCTAAAATAAGTTTAACACACAAAGAATTTGCAAAAGTACCGTTTCCTGTTGAGAGATCTCCGTAAAAGTGAAACTCGGATCCGGTATGACAGTTTCTTGAAAAGGAACAATTGGCGACGAAACTTCAAGCTTGGAAAAACCTAAATTTCATCTTGAACCAATTAACTTAAATGTAACAGAAAGATATCAAACTTCATATTACTTTTTAAAAAACTAACCCATATCCGCCAAATCCTTCAGACATTTTTGTAGATGAACTTCTCCAGCGGTAAATAGAGCTAGTTCTCCATTCTCTTGCTCAATAACTCTAAAAGAAATATTTTTTATTTGGCCACTCGAAAATACCTTAATGATGGGTCCAGCAAAACGATCAATCGCAAAGCTTCACAAAGAGCGGCCATCTTGTCCAAATCGGGCACAGATATGCTAACCTAAACATGATTGTAATGGGAAAAGTCTGGAAAACAAACCCGAACGAGCGGTTCTCCCATTTCTGAGCCAATTTGAAGGCCTTGCTCAATTGGTATCGAACAGAGGGTGGCATTTGGTACTAGATCTAAAAGATGATCAAGATTTATTGACAAAATTCGTAAAACAAACTTGTTGCTTTAATCGCACAGATTACACCAGCAACAGCCGAAGAGACAGCAATCATTTCACGCCCCCGTAGCGCATACACTTGTTCTATCTAAAAAATTTTCTTGAAATTTAAATCTTAATCCAATTCGATATAGATTAATCATATCAAAAACTTACCACTGTAGTGATCTCATCTTTATTTTCAGCAAGTTTCCGTTTACCAGCAAGGTAGAGCGTATCTCCCTAAAATCTACCTGGATAACAAAAAAAATGAATACAATTACTAAAACCTTCGTTATGCGGCCGCTCAATACCCGAATGATGCATAGTTGTGACTCTTCGAAATGCACAAATTTTGCCACAAAAGCTATTGTCGTCCCATCTGGAGAGCACTTTGCAATCGATTCACGAAGAGAGTCCGATTTGGCTAAAAGTTGTTTGAACCGAAAGATACGTTCAAAGTTACCTAGAATTTTGTCCAATCTTTGTGGCTCCTTGAAAGCATTTAAAGCTGACATGGCTCGGGCACACGCTCTAAAGTCTTATTTGATGTTTTTAGTTTAATCAGTTTTACCTAAAACAAGTTGTAGCTAATGGTAGCCAAAGCCTGAGCGTCTCATCGAAGGCGTCCGGTAGCCGTTTTGTTTTTACCTTAATACCTAAAACTTCTTGTTCAACATATACCCAAAACTTCAAATTCACATAGAATTTTTCATAAAAGTTACCCAATTTTTCAGCTAGAGCTATCGTTTTCTCCAAATTCATATCGATCAACGCACATTCATGAAGGGCCCAAAGTGGATCCAAGACGAGTTGCTCAAAAAGCGTCTTTTTCCCGCGAGATGCCGCATCTGACTAGATAGAAATAATAGAAACATAGCGCAAAGTCAACCTGTATTTTTGATCCACTTAAATAAAAGTCGCCAAACATATGTTGAGCTAACTCGGATTTATCGATCTAAAACTAAAGTTTTAAAAAAACAGTTGAAATCGTTGAATTGAAGTAAATCAACCAAGCAGTTGTTGGTATCATAAAATAAAAGCTGACCTTTAATCGCTCCGTCCAAATATCGGCAAATTCGTTCACTCCAAATGCGTACCCATGTGTGGCGGATGAAAATAACACATTGCCCTAAATAAACAAAGATCAATAATATTTACTTGTTATACCTTTTGTGGTTCAAAATGGACTCTTTGTTCGAGTGCCTCCATATGACCCCAAGTGTCATCTTCCAAAGTAAGGCCAGAAACAAACTAAATAGCAATTGAAATACCTATGTTAAAACGGAAAACGCACCTGACTCAACGACGAATTCACTGCTTCTAGTAGACGAACAATATGACGATAGGCTTCACTCGAAGACATCCTAAGCTCTACCTAAAATTTAAAGTTCAAAAAATACATAAATACTTCTTACCTAAAGCTATCTTTCATAAACCAAAAATCATAAAATACCTTTAACCTGTCCAACTTGTTCAGTACCAAAATAATCGTTTGCCCGTTTTGGATAGCTTGTCTCATCAATGTATGGGTTTGAGAACAAACGCCTTCAACCTAAAACAATTGTGTGGAAGTTTAGCATTTCATTTATCATACAAAACAACAGCTTACTCACCACATCAACCAACAGCAAAGCAATATCGGAGAGTAGCAATGCCGATGTGACCTCGGAAGAAAAATCAACATGACCAGGTGAATCGATCAAATTGAGGAGCAACGGTCCATAAATCAATGAAACCCCAGATGACTAGAGGTTAAAATTTAATATAGTAGACAATGATGACTTTAAAAACTTGTTTTTAAGCTTAGAATTTAAAAAAGTAACTACCTTCATTGTGATCCCTCTTTCTTGTTCATCAGAACGACTATCCATATATCGAAGTTTTCCGGCCATCCGATCTAAACACAACAAATTTTAAAAGCTTGCTTGAGAACAAAGTAGGCAAAATGTACTTACTTGAAATCAGCGCATTTGTGGTTACCAACGAGTCGGCAAAAGTTGTTTTCCCGTGATCAACATGAGCGATGAGGCAGACATTTCGGATCTCGTTTGCCGGTTTCTAAACAAAAGCATTGCTTGGCTGAGACTTTTTAGCAAATTAACTCTGAAAAATGAAAACTTACTGAGGCAAAGGCCTTTTCGATCAATTCGGGGAATGTCGTCATTCGAGTACTAAAATTGAAGAATTAGACAGGTATGGTTTGATAATTTGAAACGAAAAGGCACGACAAAGGCAAACCCAGGGAGGGAAAGCAAAGTGAGAACCTAAAGAACAAAAGAAATACCGTATTTGTTTGAAACTCAAAAACTACCGTAGCAAAAACACGGTTTTAAACTTTTTATAAAGCGCAAAAATTTGTGACAAAAGTTTTTTCCAGCAGAAGTTTGAATGTCGTCATAGGTTTTTGTCTTTAAGAATGTGTAAGATGAGATTTAGCCATGAATTAGAAACTTTTCTATTAGAAGTAATTTCTGGGTTACCCAACTTGGGAAATATGAGGTACCGTAAAAACTAATAGAAGCGCAGTCCAGAGGAAGGTTGAAAAAGAAAAGCGCATGCGCTTCTATTAGAGTTTTTACGGTAGTTAAGAAATTCTCAAAACTCAGGGAGTGGGCCAAATGCGACCTTTTTTTTGCGCACCCGGACATTGGCGCACGTTTTTTCGCGTTTAAAAAATGCTCCAAAAAGCTAATATTAACCAATTTCTATTCCAAAAGTTGTTTTTCTAGGTAATTTTAGGGCGTAGAATCGAAATTTTGACATATCAGAGCTTGTGGAAACAAACGAACGAAGTTATACAAAGAGAAAAATCGACAATTTTCTGTAATTTGATCTAGCCGTTTTGTCTTTCAAATTGGTTCCACACGCTCTGTTATGTCAAAATTTGAATTCGACACCCTCAAATTACCTAGAAAAACAACATTTGGAATAGAAATTGGTTAATATTAGCTTTTTTAAACGCGAAAAAAGGTGCGCTAATGGGCAAGGTGCGGAAAAAAGGTGCGCAAATGTCCGGGTGCGCAAAAAAAAGGTCGCATTTGTCCCACTCCCCAAAACTCAACTTAAAGTTCGACGAAAAACAACGAAATTTTCACCCATTAGCTTTTTTAAAACACACTACTCTTTTTGTGATAGACGCAGACGGGGAAAGCGATTTAAGGGACAGAGAAAGTGTTGGCCGAGTTCTAAACAACTACTCAGTTTATAAATTTGTATTAACTTTTCTTTTCATTTTTCTGATGATGTATTGAAGTAATTTTTAATTTTAGGATGACGTCACGTCTCTTACCTCGCTCACTTTCGATGACGTCGATTCGGACAATGTACGAAAATCCCTATGTGAAACGATTCAAAGCAAAGACAAAAGTATCACCAGATTATCACAAACAGGTAAAACTTTTTGGTAGTAAATACTTGAATTCAGCTCGGTACTAATAAACTTCGGGGGGCACTTTGATCCGATTTGGTCAGATTGTATTTTTTGACTGTTTTACCAACGTTATTTTACTTTTTCTGGGGTAATCAAGCATGATGAATCTATTGATAATAATTTTGGAAAGTTGAACTATTTTGATTGATATTTTGATAATCTAGCTGGAGCCTCTACAGTTTTGCTAAACTTAAAAATGAAGAGAGGGGCAAAATACAAAGTGATAATTTGTTCAAAATATTCTAAAAATATCGTCAATCGATTAAGCGTATTTGATTACTCCAGAAAATGCAAAACAAGACTAGAAAAAACGCCTAGAATAGGGTCTGACCAAGTTGGGTCAAAGTACCCCCTCCCCCGAAGTCTATTAGTACCTTCAGCTCTTTTAATCGATTTAATTTAATTTCATACGAATAGTCGATATTAACCGTTCATAATAATGTATTTTAGAGCACCGGGTTGACGGGCCTTTTTGTTGAAGAGCACCCACATCGCGCTCTTTCTGTGGTTTATGGAAGACTGCTTCGAGCACTCGAGAAATTGCCCAAGGATTACGCCTACAGAAAATATACGGAGCAAGTAATCGTGCTTGATGAGATTGGATTTTTTTGATTATTTTTAGGTGGTTCGACATCGTTTAAATCTTGTGCAGACGGAGACTGACGTTCTTCAACTTGAGCAAAAAATTGGAATGGGGCAAGTCGAAGAAGTCCTTCAACAGGTTAAATATTAGAAGCTTGTTTTATAATAAGTGAATTTTAGGCACAATTCGAGTTGGAAACAACTCGAGCACTTTTTTGATGCCAAAGCCTGGGAGCCTCTTGTCGAAAAAGCGCCGGTTGGACAATGGAATTGGCCCGTTTAAGTAATGATTTTGATAGCTTTAATGTAGCTTTGAATTATTTTTAGTGATGTAAATAAATTTTTTTAGGATTTTTTGGTTTATTCATGTCTGGTATTGTTTACCGAATTTGTTTGCAAATAAACATCTACTTGCTTTATTGTTTTTGTTGGGATGAGTAGGAGACATTGACCAAACAAAAGTTTTTAAATCGTCTTAAATCTGTTTTTTTTTTGAGCTATTCAGTATTTTCAGAGCATTACATGAATGAAAGACCATCTGGCCTTATTACGCACGGAACATACAGAGTTGCAGAGTCGTTATTCAGAGTTAAAGAAAAAGTAAGCTTTGTACCATTACCCAGGTAAAACGTCTTGATTAGATATGAAATAGCAACTGCTACATGTCCAAATGAAGGAGTCTCTTTTGCTTCATCGGTACTATCGCTTGTGAACTCGCTGTTTGGTGAGACGAAATACAGGTGAATTTTAATTTAATTATTAATATAAAAAAGACCCAAATCCTGTATTTTAGTGATATTCGCTTCTCGGTGGCCGAACGTACCTTTCATGCGCATCGTCTCGTTGTTGCGGCTAGAACTACACATTGGAATCTTGTTGACAATGAGTTGATCACGATTGACGGTAGAAATTGTTTTGAGATCTTTTCCAAATATGTGATTAGATGTTGAGCCGGCGACCTTTGAAATAGCACTTCGATGGATTTATCAAGACACTTTGGCTCAAAACTACGATGCGAGCACGTTAATGGCAGTGGCAAATCTGGCGATTGCTTGCAAGCTGCCACATCTGGTGGAGTTGTAAGTTTAGCCTCTCATCAAAAACAATATTAACAAATTTTAGGTGTGAAAGGAGTTTGTCGTTACTTCTCGAGGTTAAAAACGCAGTTTCTATTTATGAATTTGCTGACCGAGTCAATTCAAAGGATTTGAAGGAAAAATGCTCACAACTTATTACAGAGAGGTTTTTTTTTGCATTTTTGGCGTTTTTACCATTTATTTTAGATGGAAGGAATTCAGCCCTGAACACTTTGCAAATTTTCCTGCGCCTCTATTGTTACGGCTATTAAAATCGTAAGTATTTATACACTTGTTTAAAATTGGTCCAATTCAGACAATGTGAAAACCCATTGCATACGATTATTGACCTCGAACGAGAAGATGCCCTATTTCTTTACTTTGTGGAAAACGATTCCAAGGTGATTTTGAATTTAATTTTGATGATTTAACATTTTTAGTTATTCGACCTTGTTAACGCTCCAGATTCAGAAGGGATACTTTCACTTGAACGAGCGTTGAGACGAGGAAATTATTCGATTGCAAAGCAGTTACTTCAAGTTTGCCTCTTGCATTATCCTTTAAAAAAAATTTAGCACAAAGCCGATCCCAATAAACTGAATTCGAAGCAATGCCCATTGATGATAAAATTTGTCCAAGAAGGTAGGTCAATTTATGCCACCATATCTATACATATACTGATTATAGATCTTTTTGATGCGGTGCAATTTTTGGTGGAAAACGGAGCTAATTTGTTCTTGTCGGATCAAGATGGATCTACGGTAAAACAAAAAAAAATACAAATATAGGTTAAATATAGGTTTGCCATCATCTTGCTGAAAGAAAACTATCAGCTGAAACATTGAAGTGGATTGAGGTGATGATCGAACAGTTGCCGATAGATTTGACAAACAAGAAAAAACAGTGAGCGTTTGATGTGTTAAAGTTTGAAAAGAAATCCAATTTATTAGGAGTCCCTTACATGTTGGTGTTTTATCCGGAAACATTGACTTTATATCTCGCTTGCTTTCAACAAAACGTGTCGACTTGAACAAGGTTGATGTGGAAGGCTCGACTCCTCTTTCTCTTGCACTCTTTACAAATGTAAGGATCTTTTAGTGTTTAGTTGTTGAAATGGCATGTATTCAGAAAAATGAAGATATTGCTCAAAAGTTGCTCATCGCCGGTGCTGACATTAATAAACAATTCGATAATGGAGGTAACATTTATTCATAAACATTTACACTTGTATTTAGATTATTTGGTACACCGAGCTATAGGTGATATAGAAACTTTGAACTTTTTGCTGGAAAAGGGCGCTAACCCTGAAGTTTTCGACAAAGAAGTTAGTGTTTTATCATCTTTTCCAACTTCGTTGTTTAGGGAGAATCGCCTCTTGCAGTTGCTGTTCATTGGAATTGTGGAAAGTCAATTGAAACCCTCATTCGATACGGAGCGGTAACGAAAGGTACACTTCTAAATTTTTGTACACTAATTTATCAATCTTAGGCTACCTTCATTTGGCTATTAACAGCAACTATCTTGAAGCAGCCACGGTTTTGTTAAGCAACGGTGCAGATGTCAATGAAGTTGACTCGTCGAAAGAAACTCCGTTGCTGGTTGCAATTCGGTTGGTGAACTGCAATTTTTTTTTTGTTTAACACTGTTTAGATCTAAAAATGATGATGCTACTGTTTTCCTCCTTAATAATGGTGCTTCCCACTTGATAAAGTTGGTTTTTGAAATGATAAAGTAAGCTCGAGTTTAGAAATACTCCAAGTGGATGTACGATTACCGAATTATGCGTTGCTGGTGGGCTGGCAAAAGCGGTGCGCCTGTTGACTTCATTAGGCATTGATCTCAATGAACGAGTTGATCAGGGTGCCGGTTTTCCGCTTATTATAAGAGCATTTGAAAACGGTAATGTGGTTGATTTAGTTCTGATAAGAGATAAGTTTTAGAGCATTGGCAATGTGCTTCTGTGTTGATCTCAGCTGGGTGCGATCTAGAAGGACGTACAGTAGTGGAAGGAGCTGAAACTACACTTCTTCACGAGTCATTAAAACGAGGATGGTCAGGGGCGGCTACTCTATTGATTGAAGCGTCAGTCTAAATTTTAAAATTCACTATTTTATTTTCTTTAGAGGGTGTGATCTAAATGCAACTCGAAGATTAACGAATTCAGCTGAAGGTAGGTGAAGATTGCGTGTAATCTGTTTTTCGTTTTTTTAGCAGATCGACGAACCCCACTTCATATGGCGGTTGTCTATGGGAATTACGACGTTATTCCGTTCATCATCTCTTTTGGCGCTGATTTAGAGAGACAAGTAACATATTTATATTGAATTGGTCATATATAACTTTAGGATAACGAAGGCCGAACGGCTGGCCATCTGGCTGTACAAGAAGGTAGTGAGAAGGCCATTGAAGCACTACTTGCTTCGGAAAACGTTGGGTAACTTAGAGTTGTCTTTCAAGATTAGATGTTAACTTCTAGATTTCTTTCTGTTCGTGATCGACTCGGACACACTCCACTTTCATTGGCAATAACACTACGTCACCACAGAGTATGTTTATACTTTATATCAAAGTATTTTGATTTAGCAAATTCAAGATACCAAAGTATTTTGGTATAGCAATTTATGAGTTTTAGATTGCATCAACAATCGTGAAACGACAACCACATGCGGCTTTGCAATGCAATGGAAGTGGGGAAAACTTACTGCACACGGCCGTAAAGGCCAATGATCTAGAAAGTAAGAAACCTTCGAAAATAATTTTAGATTTATGTTAAGGTGTTCTGTTTTTACTTGGCACTGAAATGGATGCCTCGCAACCAACTGCAGACACTTCGAGAAGAACGGCAATACATCTGGCCGTTGAATATGCAAATAATGAGATGATATTGCGGAATCTGGTGAGTTATATTGTGCATTATGTGAGCATGAATCAATTTTCAGCTTTTAACTGGTTGTAATGTGAACGGGCGATGCTCTGAGGGATCAATAGCTTTGCATACTGCTGCAAGATGTGGAAGAGCGGCGCATGCTATGATTCTTCTTGAAAATAATGCTGATCCGTCAATTCAAGACAACAAAGGAAACACAGGTGAACAATTTTGGTACTTTAGCACATTGGCTATTCGTATAAATTTTAGCTATTCATATTGCCCTATCGAATGGGGCCTCGGAAGTAGCAAAAGCGTTGCTTTCAAACAATAATGCGGACCTACGAATAACAAACAAAAAGTAAAAATTCCTGACTTGGACTGGACAATGAAGTTTAGGGGCTTAACACCGCTACATATGTGTGCTTCAACTTGTGGGGCGTTAGCGGTGGAAACGTGTGAAATGCTACTGAATACATTGGCTAATGGAGCTCCCGAGGTTTCGCAACAGGATATAGATGTATTGGATGCAAATGGAAACACTCGTAAGACTAATGAATTATACTAGCTAGCAACATGAAACGTTTAGCTCTTCTCCTTGCTTATATGGCTGGTAATGCTGCAGTTTGTCGTCTACTTCTGAAAAGAGGTGGTTTGTGTGTTTGTTTTGATTTTATTTCAATCTAGGAGCCTCGATGGGTATTCGGAATTATGATGGAATTTCAATGTTTAACTACGATACGCCGACAAAACAATTGCTTTTTGGATTGTTGGGTATTTAATTTTTGTTTTATTTTACAGAACCCTGAAATCAGACACGCTTGAACGAGAACCACGATGGGCTGAGGGGGATACGTGTAGCGATTGTGGTGTTAAGTTTTCGATTACGACAAGGAAACATCATTGCCGGTAATACTTTTTAGCGTCTAGTTATAGTTTCCCACTTAGGCATTGCGGGCGGGTTATGTGCTCCAAATGCTCAGAGACAGCAATGCCAATATTGAAGTTCGGTGAAGAGAAGCGACAACGTGTTTGTGCTCTTTGTGCACAGGTAACCTTTTAATTTCCACACTAGGAATTACAAGTGAATTCTTTTCTTAAATAGGTGTAAATGAAATTTTTAGGTCTTAACAATAGGTGCTCCACGTTCATGATTTCCTCAAAATTTATGTATTTGTGAAATTTATGCTGTGATTAGGATGCGGTGAGGGATTTAAGCATTTTATTAGTTTCTAGTCTTTGTATTTATTAGTCGTCCAAAATTCTGTGAATTCTCCACTTTTAAGTTTGTACCATCTTGTCATTCCATAATGATTGTGATCATTACTTGTGCCTTGATAAATTTATATATATTTTCGTTGAGAAAGCACAAAGTAGAATGAAACAATTCAGGGGTGAAGAGAAAGAAGAAATCGGGTTATTTGGCGGCGACTTCTCTGTTTTCTCCAGTTTTCAGCGCTGTTTTTTGTGGGTTTTCACATTTCTCTCAGGCTGTTGCTATGTCCTCGCTGACTGGGGAAAGAAAGAATCCAAAAATCGTGAAAATGAAAAATAGACAGACGTTACTCCCTTTTTCGGAGAGATCATAAAGGAAACTAATTCGATTAGTTTTTGGATCTTTTACTTAGTTTTAGTTTTCGTCAACAAACTTTCAGAAACTTTTCAAAAAGCTGGCATTTTTTGTGCCTTTGAAATTTAAGCTTTTTCTAGTTTGTGTTTTACGTTTTTTTTGAGCTGTTTGTCCCTTGCCTCCATAAGCACAAGTGCTTCTCGAAATTGAGCAAAAGTCAATACTCTGGCTCTCATAACAGTTTTGAAAGCCTGTCTTTTCTACGCAAACAGGCCAATTTCATTTTTTAAAAGTTGCGCATTTCCAAGAGTTCGTTATTTATCGACTACTTCGATCAGAATGGGTCTACTCGTTGATGGGGTCTGGACGGATCAGTGGTATGATACGAAAAGCACTGGAGGAAGATTTCAAAGAAGTGCATCTCAATTCCGCAATTGGGTGACCCCTGACGGATCGCCCGGGCCAACCGGTGACGGCGGTTTTGCTGCCGAAAAGGGCAGGTGAGACTTTTTGCATTTTTAGCTTGATAAGTTGATAAGCAGAGGGAATCCATTTGCTGCACTAGTTCAAGCGCTAAACACGACTGGTGTGTGAAAGGCATAGGCGTAGACAGGATTTTGCGACTTTCAATCTAACCGCCTGATTTCAGATACCATCTTTATGTGTCATATGCTTGCCCGTGGGCGCATAGAACCTTGATTTTTCGCAAGCTAAAAGTGGGTTTCATTTGAAAATCCCAGAGAAACCCTCAAAAATAGGGTCTTGAAGATCACATCACCGTTTCTATTGTGAGCCCGTTAATGTTCGAAAATGGATGGCCTTTTGATACAAGCTTTCCCGGTAAAACCTGCAGAGCCGAAACTCGGAAACAAGAATTTCAGATGCAACTTCTGATGAGCTTTTTGGCTCCCAATATTTGTATCAAGTTTATCAACAGGTCAGTGCAATATCTTTAGTCCATTCTTAGTCCAATTAGTCCAATTAGTCCATTCGTTTCTTGTTTTCCAAGCTTTGGGATCAGCCTGAAATGCTGGCATTTCAGGCTGATTCCAAATACACTGGCAGAGTGACGGTGCCGATTTTGTGGGACAAAAAGCAGAACAAATTGGTGAGCAACGAAAGCTCGGAGATCATTCGAATGTCAGTGAAATGATGATTTAAAAGAGAATCGAGAGAATTCTAGGCTCAATTCAGCTTTTGATGGTGTTGGAGCAAAACCTGGTGATTACTATCCAAAAGAATTGCAAGAGAAAGTTGACGAAGTGAACAGCTGGGTTTACGATACTGTCAATAACGGTAAATAAAGAAACATTTTAAATCTACCAAAAAAAGCAGGTGTCTACAAGGCCGGATTCGCAACTAGCCAAGAGGCTTATGATGAAGCGATTGAGAAGCTTTTTGAGTCTTTAGATCGCTTGGAGAAACTGTTAGGTGAACAACGCTATTTAACCGGTGATAAACTCACCGAAGCCGACATTCGTCTGTGGACTACATTGGTAAATTAACTAGAATAAATCAATTCTAAGAACGAATTAAGATCCGCTTTGATCCAGTCTACATCACCCACTTTAAATGTGATAAAAAAAGGATCTTGGACTACCCAAATTTGCATGCTTACATGAGGCGAGTATCTCGGACTTTCCAGACTTCCAATCTTGATCAATTAGTTGAAATTTCAGAGAAATTTACCAACTACCTGGTGTCGAGGAAACTGTGAACTTCAACCACATAAGAAGCCACTACTTCAGATCGCATAAAACGATCAACCCTACAGGTAAACTCTCAAATAAAACAATCAACCTTCTCAATCCAGGAGTCATCTCTATCGGACCCAACATGAAACTTGATGTTCCTCACGGAAGAGATAAAAAATAAAATTCGCGGTTTCTTTCAAAAAATCGTTTAGATAAAATTTATTATAGCAAAAGTACCCGTTAAATTTTGCAAAATCAAACAAGCACCCGTTAAATCGTACCACAAACAAGAAACTCACAAATCGTTATAAATCGTATTTCGACGGACTGTTGGACAACTTGATTTCTCGTGATTCTATTCTTGTGCAGAGGTATTCTCCCAAAACAGTGCAAATGGTCACGCTAATTATCTAAAAATGAATTTTATATAATTTTTGTACAGTGTTGAAGATATACCTGAAGTAGCCACCAAAGAAGTGACGTCGGAAACGATGCATTGACGATACACACAAGAATCAGATGAAATAAATGAACGGTGCACGCAAAATCCAAACATTGTCTCGTTCTTTGTACCTAAACAAATCATTATCTTTTGAATTAAAAAATGTTTTACCAAAAATGATATCGCAACAGCTACAGAAGTGGAGGCCATGAGTTGGATGAATGACATGAATCGTAGAGGCTAAACTTAAAGATATAAACTACCGTAAAAACTCTAATAGAACGGCCGTGCGTTTTATTTTTCAACCCCTCAAAATCGGTCGGCCAAAAAAGTCGGTAAGGGCCCCCACATGAATCAAAATTTTATTTTTCCTTGAAAACTGTTTTAAACGATAGCCCTTGGCTTAAAACGTATGTAGAACAAATTTTAGAGTGAAAATATTTTCTGACCCGGAGCCTCCAGAAATTTTTCTGAAAAATCCCTATCGATTTTTTTCAAAAAATTCTTTTTTAAATTTTTTTGAAAACTGTCCAACCAATTTTACTGCCGATGATAGTTTTGTCATATTTATGCCCAATTCTATATATTCCTGTCAAAAAATGTCCCAAAAAGTCGATATTTCGAGGGGTCAGAGGCCATTCTATTGGAGAGAGCTGTTCTGATAGAAAGGACCGTTCTATTAGAGTTTACGATAATCAAGTTCAATACTTCCCTTTTACTATTAAGACTATTATTTCAAGATTTTTAGAAGTTTACCTGTATCGTAAAAATATGTGAGACGGATGGTTGATAACCGGTGAACGAGTACGCCATCATGAATATTGAATGTGCCGAATAGAAGACGGATTGAAGGGCGATCATCTGGCTGAATAGCAACGACGGATCCCATACATACGAGCGAAAAGAGCTCATCTAAAGAAAGGTTGTTAGTTTTCACACGAAATACATGGAACGAAAGATACGAATAAAACGCTCGATGAAAGACTGAAAAAATCTTCTGAAAGTCTTCTGAATGAGATTAATTTCGTTTATCCTATTGCTTAAACTTACGATTTCAGTATTTTGGCTTTAGATAATTGTGATCTGTCTTTGTTGATAATAAATTATTATTAAAAATCAAAAATCCATACATTAAACAAAATAAAAAGTTTTTAAGATGAGAAACATTTCAAAAGTTCAAAAGGAAAACGAGGGATAGGCTAATTTCCGCTATTTTATTTGCGCAACTCGCCATAACTTTCTTCTAAGTAAGCCAATCTTTATGATTTTGGCTTACTTAGAAGAAAGTTATGGCGAGTTGCGCAAAAGACCTAGCTGCGCAAATGACCCAGTTGTGCAAAAAATTTGGCGCAAAGTAGCCTATCCCGAAAACGAACAAGAGCAAAGAGCGCTGATTAAATATGCTATCTGTATTCCATTTGTAGTAAAAGATATTGAATTGGCAAAAAGGTTATTTCACAATTTAGGTAAAAGGGCGAAAATATCATAATCGAGCAAAAAATCTCAACTGACAGCAAATTTGTCAGAAGGCTACCTATACGTGTTGCTTTGTCAGAAGATTTTGCTTTTATCTTAAAAATAATCAGCGCACATTTCGTAATCGAATACCTCATGCTTTCCGCGGATGTCAGAACCCCGTATTATTTCTTTTTGCCAGCTGGTTTCTCGGAGCGTTAACGCGCGTATCTTTACGTAATTCCACCACCTCCCCTTTTCTGTAAATAGACCGTTTAACTTACCTAGTTGACTATTTTCTATCGTTTTTTAAATTCGTTTCATGCAATTATTTTATTTTTACAAAAGTTTTTTTATTTAGTGACGATGGGTGAGCAAAAAGTCGAGAAAGCGCACGGGAAGAAAAGAAAGAAAAATTTTGGAGCGCTTGATTCAGTGAGTTTGCTTTGCTTTATGTTGTCGTGTTTTGTTAAAAACAAAAAAGCGTTTCTTTGATCTTAAATTTTATCTTTAGAATGGAACAATTGAAAATGGCACTTCGGATGAACAGAAAACGGCAATTTCCCGGGAAAAACCGAGAGCTTTTGATGAATTTGATTCCAGTGATGAGGAGGTTAACATTTTATATTCAAAGAAGAGATTCGTTCTATGAAAATGCGTACTTTGTACGAGTATAAAACAGTAACTTTATTCTCGTTACTGAAAGTTGAAAGTAACGAGAGTAACGAGTACGAGTATAAAAAAAGCTAAAGTAACTGAAAAAAATTTTATTTTTAGGATTTGCGAAATACAATCGGAAACATACCGGTTGAATGGTATGATGAAGAGGAGCACATCGGCTACGACAAAGAAGGGAATAAGGTACTAATTTTGAATAAACTTATTCAAAATCGTTTTCTAGATCGGAAAAGCCAAGAAAAGTGGTGAAATCGACACTTTTCTGGAGAAAATGGAAGATCCAGATTATTGGTATCGGTTGCTTTGGTTTTTATCTATGAACTTTTTAGGAAGAAAGTATTCGATCGACAAACTGGACAAAATGTGACACTTACTCAAGAACAGGTTATTTTTACGGATATCAAATTTTAACAAAATTTAGATTGACAAAATCCATGCTTTTGCTGTCGGTAAATACCCGAGCATTGGCTACAACCCATATCAACCATTTGTGGACTTTTATACTTCGGAAGCGACTATTCATCCAATTGATAATAGGTAATCTGAAGTGTTATTTGTTGTAAAAAATAAACGCTTTTAGACCGGCTTCGAAGAGCCAATTTGTTCCATCAAAAGATGAAATGAAAATCGTTTCTCGAATGGTGCATGCTATTAAGATGGGATGGCTTAAGCCTAAAGAAAAGAAAGAAAAACCAAAGGTACATAGCTTTATTCGTAGAGTCTTATGCAAAATTTAAAGGTCTACGATCTTTGGGGTGAAGAAGACGATAGCAACAAGACAAAGAGCGAGTTGGCTAGAATACGAATGCACATGCCGGCTCCTAAGGTGAGTTAGTTAGTGTTTTATGCGAGGTTAACTCGTATCTATACAAAAGATTGATGCATGATTCCTGTAAGAGAAATCCTCCAAATGTTTAGCTCACTTTGCCGACTCATGCCGAATCCTATAATCCACCAGAAGAATATTTGTTGACTGAGGAGGAAAAGAAAGAGTAACAATCTTTTTAATAGTAAGTATGTTATAGATTAAATTTTAGATGGGAAGAGCAAGATCCTGAAGAACGTCGAGCTAATTTCGTGCCGCACAAGTTCGAGGCGATGCGAAAGGTACTAAAGTTTGATAATTTTACTATTTCTGCTTTTTTAGATTCCACAATACGAGAAGTTTGTCCGAGAACGCTTTGAGAGATGCCTCGATCTTTATTTGGCACCTCGTCAAAGGAGATTGAAGGTTAAGCTCGTGTTTGTCGATCAACAAATAAAGTTTTTTAGCTGAATATCGAGAATCCGGAGCAATTGTTACCCGATCTGCCAAATCCGAATGATCTACGACCTTTCCCGACAACTCTTGCCTTTGTATGTAGTAATTTTATTATTTTAGTGTGATTCTATTATACTTGTGACTATGAAAACATTACTTAATGTTAGTACATGCGTGGGCACCTGGGACAAGTGCGCTCAATTTCGGTTGAACCAGAGAAGGGAGAACTCGTCGCATCTGGTGGACAGGATGGAACTGTTCGCATTTGGATGCTTGATAGTGGACGCTGTATTAAGGTTGCAAAATTTTTTCTGATTAACAAGTCTATCCATTTTAGACACTTGATTTCGGAGCACCGATCCTTAGCGTCGCATTTTGTCCGACTCCAAACAAGACATTATTGGCAGTTTCTTATGAAGGAAAGCGAGTGGCATTGGTTAATACGGAGACTGGAGATAAATTATTAAATTCTCAAACCACTCAATTTATTGATGAGGTAAACTCTTTATTTTAACGTATGTTAATTTAATTATTAGCTTCCACTCAATGTTGAAGAGGGCATTCCGCAAGTTAAATGGCAAAAGCAAAAGGATCGAATTGTTTTGGAAATGAATGCTGTATGTTTGAAGATAACCAACCAAAATAAAATTTTGTTTAGGATGTGCGTAAAGTTGTCTGGCATCGGCGTGGCGATTATTTGGCTACGGTTGGAATTTTGGACCATGCTAGCTCCGTGATCATTCATCAGCTAAGCAAAGCAAAAAGCCAGGTTTTTGCCCTTAAGTCTGAAATAAACTGCCGACTATTTTCAGTGTCCATTCTCGAAGAAGAAGGGATTAGTTCAATCTGTGGCATTCCACCCTACTCAACCACAATTCTTTGTGGCTTTGTCGAGACATGTTCGCGTCTATGATCTAGCCAAGTTTGTTTGTTTTATGTTTAGACACTAAATCAATTCTAGGTGTCAACTGATCAAAAAATGTCTTGCCAACAGTAGTCATTTGAGCGTGATGATAGCCGACAACCAAGGAGATGTAATCTTTTGAATTATGACAACTTGCATTTTCTATATTTATATCCCAAGTGTAACTGACATTTTACAGAATCTATTTGTTGGTGGTTTGGATCGCCGCTTCTCGTGGATTGACCTGCAACTGTCGAATAGACCCTGGAAATCACTTCGGCACCACGGATCGGCTATTCGTGGAATTGCCTACCACAAAAAGTTCGTTTTGCGTTTTTAAATCTATTTTTACAACGATCTATAATTTTGTTGTTTAGGTATCCACTTCTTGCAACTGTGTCTGATGATGGATCAGCTCTCGTCTATTATGCTCGAATTCACACGGATTCATTCCGAGATAACGAACTGGTCCCAGTGAAAAGACTTCGGTGTGTTTTCAGGAAAATATACCTAATCTCATTCACTGTTTAGGGGACACACCAAAGTTGGCGACTTGTCGATGCTGGATACTGCTTGGCATCCCACCCAACCGTGGGTCTTATGATTTGGGTCACCACTGTTTATTGTCTATTGTGCATTTTCTAACAAATAAATTTCAGATGGCTGCTCACTGCTGGTGCTGATGGTACGATCGGTCTATGGAGTTATTAGTGATTTGTGCTCTGGATTGTTATGGTTTTACCTTGTTAAACTTTGTTATTTCTGTTTGTTATTTCGTAGTTGTTATGAATAAATTTCTTTCAAAGTCATCGTTGTTTAACCTGGTTTACACCGAATTTATCTTTAAAGTGCTAAACGGAAAATGTCATGTTTTCCCGTTACAAGAGCTATTGTTGTTGTCGAAACTACATTGCTTCTGTTTTAGATGTCATGGCTATCAAAAGTTACCGATATGGCCGGACGTGCAGAAGAGATGCTAAATAGACTTGATCAGAGCGCTGGTAAGCATATTTCCATGGGGTTTTTAGAGGGACAATAAGTTTTTCCAGATCGATCACTATTGTTTTTAATATTTTCCCGTTATTCAAAAATTTTCAGGCGAGGTGATTCAACACACAGTGGATAAAGTGGAGCAAGTTCGCACGTCTTCTTCACGAACCGCCAGCCAGCAACAACTAAATCGATCAGAAGTTGCGGTCAGTTTAATAGAAAAACTTCGAGCAATGCGTACTTCAGATTCCGATCACTGAAGAAGTCGGCACAAAGGTTCCATCACAGACCCACTCCGAATACCATACAACGGGAAGAGACTATCGAAAGGCGCATGGGTTAATATTTTTTTGATATTCCTTTAATCTGTTTAATTTTAGCGGTGACCCATCAACTTCTCGCCCACCTCGTGATGATGAGCTGATGGCGATGCTTTCTGAGGAGCCCGGGCACCGTTCAAAAAGTCACGGCGTTGTAGAAGGGTATGTTAAGGTTAATAGATTCATTATTGTACAAGTTTAGATTAAACATTCAACACGATGCGCCTCGGCCAACAAAAGTGGCCCCCGTTGAGACGCCAAGTCGTCGAAGCTCCACTCACTCGTTAGCCTCACTCGCAGGTAGGGGTTTAATTCAAGTTGCTAACTATAAGTTTGAATGTTTAGCATCAGAAACAGCCGATCATAGTGGTATGAAGACTCAACTTCTTGCTAAGGATTCTCAAATAACCATGCTACGCAACAAATTGGGAGTATGTAAAATCTGCTCAAATCCTCAAGTCAGCGTTCTAGGAAGCTGAACGCAAACTTGAAAAGCGGAATGAGGAGCTCTGGGACATGAAGCGCGAAAAAGAAACTCTTGAAGGAGAGCTGGCCAAGCGTCGTTCTGAGCCACAAGAAAGTAAACAAACAAACAAAAACCTTATCAAACTATTCGTTTAGGTATTGAAGAGCTTCGGTTGGCTAGGCAAAAGGCGATTGAGGCACGAGAAGCCGTAGCAGCTGAAAGTGTTCAGTTGAGGAAACGGCTTGCAGCGCTTGAAGAGGACAACTCGACAATGCATGATCAGGCATTTGAAACGGTTGAACCCTTTGAAAAGTTTAGTTTAGTTACGATTGGCCAAATTCAACTTATCCGAAAACAAGCGAGAGTTCGATGAATACAAAGAGAAAGCAGCAAAGATCCTTCATGCAAAAGAAAAACTCGTCGAATCATTGAAACAAGGGGTATTTCTATTCTGTTTTTGTTTTTAGTTTATGATTTTGTTTAGAGTGCAACTCCGGACTCCATGGTGATCCCTGCTGAATTAGAAGAGCTGCGCGTTGAACGGTATCAATTCATCTAGTTAACTTTTGAGTTACGAAACCCCAGGGACATGTCTCGTGCTGATCTGGAAAGCTGTCAGTTGCAATTGTACAATTTGCGCAGCGAAATGGATGAGCAAGAAAGCCGTACAAGGTTAGCTACTGATAAAATCAAGTATACTATAATTCATATAGGGAGCAACAACGCGAATTGAGTGATGAGCGAAGATTATTGACCGAAGAACGTGCTCAATGGAGTGCTACCTTGCACATGCTCAACGAAAAGCTTGAATGTGCTAGGTACGTTTTTTGGGTTTTTACAAATAATAAGATAATTGCTGTAAATTTAGCTGCTCTTTTAATTTCTAATCTGTTAACGAAATTTAGAGTTGAGCACGAATTCGCTCGGGCTGAGATGCGACGTCAAGAAGCAGAGTATCATAAAACTTTCGAGAAAAAAGATCAAGAATTGCGCCAAGCTGTTGAAGAAGCAAGACTGAGAAGGTGGACTTTTTAGAAAACATTGAATTATCATAAAAGCTGCCTTCAGGCGTGAAGAAGAATACCGAGTCGGACATGGACCGGGCGATATGGCCGCTGCAGAAAAACTTCTTCAAAAACAAGTGCCTATTTCTTTGTTTCGCTAGTTAACTAATTATGCTCTTTTCAGGCAGAACTGGAACAAGCCCTTCGAGATAATCAAGTTTTGACGTTACGTTTGGAGCGACTTCAGGTAGCGTTAAGCCTGTTGAATGTTAAGTTACATAATTTAGAAAAACTCACAAGAAGTATCAGTTAATTTGGGCGATGCAGTGAGTCAACCTACCCTGCGCGGTGCGTTGCCAGTCCAAAACCAACACGCTCGCCATGCTTTGAATGCTGTAGATACGGTAGGATTTATTATTTGAGTATTAGATTGCGTTTTTTGACAAATTTGTTCTTATAATGGTTTTTACAATTTATCCTGGCTCAAAATTTTGAAATAATTAAATCTTAGGTGTGCTTCAAGTTCGTGACCGCCATCCGTAACTACCCGGCGGCTCGTCTCTCGGCGGCAATCTATTTCGTGGTCATGCATCTATGGCTCTTCTTCATCATTATGACCTACACTCCCGAGGCTCATAATGAATTGTCATTTCCAGTGCCTGGAAAGGCTACACTCGGTGGATAAGTCATTTGATATTTTTTTGCCTATTTGTGCCTTTTTGGGAGGTTTGTATATTTACCCGTTTTGGTGTCAGTCGTTTTGTAAATGGGACTATTTTTGTGATTTTAAAGCACCTGTGATAGTACATAAGCTTTTTGTTTTACAATAAATTCTCTATTCGTAACCCCGCTTATCCTTTGTGATGATATCGATTTTATTATGTGACAAGCATTATGTTTTTTTCTGTCGAATTCACGTTTGATAATAAATGATTGGTATTGATTTAAATGATTGTTTTTTTTCGGTTTGTTCGCCCTATCGGCTTATCGGTTTCCTTTTTTTGGTTGGAAAAGAGAGAAAGAGAAGTCTGACTCATCATCACGCAATTTAATAGATTCGTTATTTCATAAATTCTAGTTTTTAATTCTCTTAAGCCGTTCGAGAATTGTTGCTCGCGACTTAAAGCTTGAGCTCGCCTTTAGCATTTTATTTAAATCTTTACAGTATCTTTTGCTGGATATATTCATGATTTTTAGAATGTCGCTTGCAAAGGTCCCACCCACTCTCAAAGCAATCGCGCACTACATCAAAATAGCCAACGAGAATGCAAGCCGAGATCCGGTCATCTACTATTGGTGTAAGTTATCGGGATTTTGATCTTGATTCAGAAAGTTTCAGGCTTATTCCACGCAGTGCAAGCTGGGATGCAAATTGATAAAACGTCGCCAGAGGCTTTGACTGTGGGTGATTGTTATGCAACGTTGAATCAATGGATATTTTCTTCAATGTAGTTTTTTAGTTTCTCACCTCTCTTCTTGGAACGTTGGAAACGATCAAAAAGCAGCTGGCTGGAAACGACGCAATCACGAGCGAAGTTTGAGTGTTTAAAAGAAACTATTAAATTTGAAATTATTAGGTTGTTGGACAAGCACATGTCGAAAATTTTGCAATGAAGTTGTTTGATTATGCAGATAAGAAAGAAAAAGCCGGACAGGTAACCCTCAAAAACAAAAATAACTTTATAATTGACGATTTAGATTGATAAATCGGTTGTGCACGCATTTTACACTGCTGGACACGTGATGGATGTTTTGACTCTTTTTGGAGAGGTGAGCATTGAAGCTAAACTATTAATATAGCTCATCTACATTTTTTAGATTGATGAGCCCTACGCGTCGGCAAAAAAATACGCCAAATGGAAGAGTACTCAAATTTTCGCTTGCCTTCGTGATGGAACTCCATATGTCCCCAGCTCTCAGGAACCTTCAGGTAGGCTTTTTATGAATTAAATTTGTTCACAGCAAAGTATCAGACTCGATGCCAGGAGGTTCTGGAATGGCACACGAACATCAGGTTTTATCTTATTTAACCTTCTCCAAAGCCTCTTTATTTTAGTATCAAGACTCCAACAATCCCTTCGATTCAAATCCGACACCGTATCAGCCACCCCGTCAAAACAACGATTTCGGTTTACCACGTGGGAGCTAAAACGTTTGAGTCGATAGTTTTGTTTTTTAGAAGTGCCAACTCACACAAACCGCCCAATACCACCGAATATTCCTCCACAGCCACAAATGCCACAGCCATCATCGACTGGGTCTTTTGGATCGACAAGTAATATTAAATTTTTGGTATCTACGAATTTACTAACAATAATTGTTTTTAAAGTCGGATTTTAGATGTGCCTTCTTCAGGAAGTGGTGGCGGTGGCGGTGCAAATCCAACGTTCCAAGAATGGGAGCAAATTCGCAAGTATACCAAATATGTCATTTCGGCAATTGACTACGAGGATGTGAAAGCGGCAATAGATAATTTACGCAAAGCCCTCGAGGTGGCCGAGAAATACGCTTAAACTATGTCTTTGTGTGTGCTTAATTTTTTAATGGTTTTCAAGCAGTTGTGATGTGAGTTATAAATTGAGACTTTTTCTCTTAAACATTACTGATCCCATCGAAATAAATTTTATCACCAATCTTTACGTTTTTTAGCAAGTTGATGCTCGATATTGAAACAATTTGTAAAGTTTTTCAGTTAATGAAGAAATGTTTAGGCTATTCCTCTTTTTATGGGAGAAGAAAAGGAGAAAAAGAGAAGAAATCCTTTAAGCTTGTAAGTTTATTTATTTTGATGGTTATTTAGGAGTAGCTAAACGTAAAGTTGTTTAACTGGTTTCCAATACTGTATGTAACTCTTTAAATATTTAGGGTAACTCGAAAAGGAACGAAGAAGGTGCTGGGCAAATGGAGGAAGCTCGAAAATAACGCGGATGCACAGAATGGCGAACTTGAGTCGAGCTTTACGGGAGAGAAATTATTTGGGGTAATTTTATTTTGTTTTTATAGGTTTTTTTTTATAAAATTTGCTAAACTATCAAATTTAGCGACCGCTCGAACTGGCACTCCGACTCGATCCCTCATTAGATGAAATTCAAATTCCAGCCATTGTCCGACAATCGATAGACTACGTGAACGCTTACGGTAATCAAAAGCTTTATTTTTTCCGCAAAAATATGTTGACTTAGGACTCGATCTTGAGGGAATATATCGGGTTTCGAGCCCTAAATCGCGACTTGATGAGCTAGAAAAGGAAGCGAACTCCCGAGCGAATCCGTTGCACTTTTGCAAGATCTCTTCAACAAAAGCGCTTTTTCGAGATGCACACGAGGCTGCGGGACTTTTGAAGGTATGTTTTTTTAATCTTCTAAAGCATTTAAATAGAAAGACCCAGTCTAATCCTAAAATATATAATTTTAGCGCTTTTTGCGAGCCTTACCCGAGTCAACTATTCCACCAAAAGTTGATGAGCTTGCTGAACAATGTGTGTGCGATTGGAAAGGACCCTGTACATGTGGTTAGTAGTATATCAGTTTAGACATAAACATGCTTGTTTTTAGAAGTTTCGAATCTAGTCTTTACGGAGTTGACGGCTTTACAAAAACCCCAAAGGCACTTGCTGGCCTATGTATTTATTCATGCGCAACAAGTGATTCAACAGGTGAGCATATCTTCATCCTCAGCTCAATTTGATTTGGATTTTTAGGAACCAAAAAACAAGATGGGCGTACCGGCATTAGGACTTCTGCTACAACAAGTGTTGGATACACGACGTCGAACTGTGTGCATTCTACTTGCCAATGCAAGCCCCCTTCTCTATGGATTTCACGATGGGGTAATCAACTCTTTTATTTCTTCTCAATATAACATTTTATTATAGGTTGTTTACTTTTTTGCCGATGTCGTCATCATCCCGTGAGTTTTCTATTTTTATTTTGGAAAACAAACATTGACTATCTTTGGTGATTTGTTGAAAAGTTTGCCGAATTCTGTCTTGGTCGATTGTGATGATTTGTTGGAAGTGGAGGTTCCCTCCTTGGGTGATTTGATCTTTTGACGCTACCCTGATTGCTATTTAGTTCAATCTCCACCATTCCGTCCTCGATTTTCTTCACTTTCCCATCAGAGACCCCGATTTGGCGCTTTTTCTGAATTGGATGCATATCGTTGTGCTTGAAAGTCTATAGGTTTTGCCTTGGAAAAAAGCTCACTTTCATGTAGGCGAAAACGGCTACAAGTGCAAGAATACTGGTTAAAGCTATTCCACCCAACGCCAAAATGATTCCGATTCCACCACCTTCCTTTGTCTCCAATGAGTCAAGGGCAATATCATCGGCCTGAATCCATTTTCCTTCAAAAAAATTCATTGATATTTTTACCTTTGTGACATCATACGCTGGTCTAGGGGCATCGACTTTGAAAAATGTGTCATTTGATTCACCGCCGACAAATAAATCTGGCTGAATCCTCCCTTTTTTCTCATTCTAATCGACTTTAAATTCTTACCAGTACAATTTTTGAAGGAGTTTCTTCAACAGTGCTGTTGTCTGGGGTGGTGGTTATTTCTGGTTTAGCTGTAGTTGTATCAAGAAGCGGGTCATAATGAGAGAGATTGCTTTCATCCACTTCGAAAACTATTTGATCTTTCATTGAATAAGGTCTGTCACAGGTCTGAACGTTGGCTTAGTTTTTCAATTCATTCACGCTTACCGTCTCATTTTGATTCTGTAAGAAGAAATTCCGGCCCATCTTTGCCGCATCTTTATAGATTGCCTTTGTTGTTTTTATGACTAAAAATCTTTTTTAGCTGGTTCTTTTGGAAAACCTACAGTTTCCCATTCGATCATCGCATATCAGGGGATTTCCAGAGACATCGATTTCTTCCAAAGATGGTAGTGAAGTTAAGATCTGGGGTTTTATTGCGTTAAAGATAAATCCTATCCATTTACGGTTTCCGGTATGACTTTGATTTTAGACTTTTGAAGTTGTAACTTGCGTAGTGATCCCTTGACGTTTTCAAAAGCTTCCGGGTCAATTTGAGAGAGATTTGAGTTGGAAAGGTCAAGTATCTATAATTGAAGTTAAAAATGTATTTGGGCTTCTTATACTTCTAACATGGGTAGGTTTTTGAATGAGTTTTTACCCAATTCAAAAATATACTCGGATTCGCTCAAGTTTATTTCCCGCAGCTTCGCTAGATTGGTGATATTCTCCACCTAAATGGATATTAGTTAGAACATTTTCAACTGTGAGTTTACCGTAGCTAGCCAATTGTGTCGTAGATTTAGCTTCGTCAACGTTTTATTCAAGCTATTGAAAGTGTCATTGGGCATTTCTTTGAGCTCGTTCCAGCCCAAGTCAAGTTCCTCCAATGAGTCAAGGCCATCCCACGTCAGTGCCTATGAGTCATTCAATCACACTCACATGTTCTTTGTGCCTACCTCGACTCTTTTGATATAATTTCCAGCTAGCGAAATTCTTTTCAGCTTTTTTAAACCATCGAAAGCAAAAGCTGAGACGTTGGTGATGAGATTGACGCGTAGATCGAGCTGAAATTGTGTCTTTTAGTCTCTTGCTATTAGAACTACAGTATCTAGCGTCTGGTAGATATTTTATAGTTAGTCAAATCTTCGATAACATTCAGATCAAATTACCTCTTCCAAGTTTGTTAAAGCATTAAAGGCTCCAGCATCGATAGCCTCTATGCTACATCCGCCTAGCTTGAGCGTTTTCAATTGAGGAAGATTTGAAAGAAAATCGGTTGGCACCGAGAATATTCCATCTGCCCGAGAAAGATCCAAGCTCTGAAAACGTTTTAGCTTTGGGAAAACATTGACTAGCTATCATACCGTTAACGATTTCAAATTTGACAGTTCTTCCAAAACAGATTCGTTCATATAATTGTGATCGCCGATAATTATCGTTTGAAGCGATTGCAACGGCTAAAGGACTTTGCTCCCATTTTATATAACCTTTTGTGCACCAACCGCAAAGGTTCCTTCATCAATCGAGTTGATAAAATTGCTTGAGATGTCCAGATATTTAAGCTAAATTGACGATTTTTATCGTCTAAATGGCTTAACTCACCTTTTGTTTGTTGCTAAAAGGAGACTTGGTCAAGTTATAGAGTTTGTTCTCGGTCAAATCAAGAAGTTCAAGGTTGGCAAGGGTTTCGATCGCCTGGGGAACCTGTGAATTTGTTTTATTCGTTAATTTAAACGCAGTAGAGTGAGTTAGAAACTGAAAAATTCGATCGTTTACCTCTTCTAAATTGCAGCCATGAATGGTTAGGTTTACAAGCTTGTCATCAAGTTGTGCAAACGTTTTTGGATCTATTTTCAGGGCAGATCCTCCAGAACATTCTCTAAATTCTTTTTTTGCACGTTTCAACTTCTTTTATCACCGAATCTCCAAGCTTTTAATTTCGGGCGCAATTTGATGGAACAACTCGGCTTTTAAGCCATCTTCGGGGAATTCCATGTGTTGAACGCTGATCTGAGCTTTTGAATTTCCAAATTTTACAAACGTTAATTACTTGTTGTATTGTTTTGTTGACTTTTGCAACGAGACCGCCGACTTTTTCCAATTGAGCTATTGTGCTTCCATAAAGACATTGCACGGCGACTTTCTCTCTATCGATGACCTAAATTTTTTCGCTTTTACCCACGCCTTTCCTTTTGGATCACCTTGCTGTTAAAATTAATAGTTAGCGATTTTAGCAGAGTTTTGATACAATATAGATCCAGGAGGAATAAGATAAACGATGAAAACAAATACAAAGCCAAAAACTTTTCAATTCTTGCTGATTTTACTGAAGTCGCCCAGTTTGACAACGTATAAGACTTACCTTGCAGAAACATAGTAAAAGCTTATTTAACGATTCAGGCGTAATATCAGTCGCCTTGTCGAGTAGATCAAGATTTGGACATCCGGGAATTTCAGAATCCGCGAATGAAGACGCCGAATTGGCTGCTACAATAAACGAAACAAAACAGAAAACACGACCGAAATATTGAGATCTTGTCGGCATTAAATCACGAATGATCACGAAAAATCGAGATTTTTGTGGCGTTTTTCTTCAAGGGAAGGCTTTATTCGCCAGTGAGAGGAGCTCCTCCTCCCAGAGCACTCTGTCTTCTCGCCGCACACCCTTTGGTCATGTCTTTGAGTGAGAGAACAAGAAAGGGAGAAGAGCAACAGTCTGTCCTCTCTCCAACTCAAACCTGTCCATATCTTTTTCTTTGCCTTTCTCCGTTCTCTTTGCTGGAGCTTAGTTTTGGTAGTCTTCGTCGGCTTTTCTCAGCGATTTTGTGGCATTTTTGTATTTGAATTTCATGATCTTTAGTCTTTAAACTTTAACCATTTAACGATTAGTATTTGGTACATGTTGATCATATGAAAGTTCAATTTTAAACTTCAATTTTCCCGGCACTCTAGAAATCTCCCACCGCCGTGTACGATGATAAATTGATCTGATAGCGGTTTTATTTACCCGCCGCCTGATAGATCCTTCCAAAATGATAATCAATTGGAACTTCCTTTATTTGAGAAACAATGTTGAGAAACTGCAATTGTGCTTCTTCTAACAAACATTCATTACAATGTCAAGATGACCAGGAAATTGTATGGATTGAAAATCCTGGGTATTTGTTTTTGTATCGATTCTTTTTGAAAATTAATATTCATTTGAGAGTTTAGGTATGTTCCCCCGAAAAGTGGTCACGAATTGGAGAATTGGGAGTGCGAGGATCGACCACGAATTGAAGAAGAGATGGAGAAGCAAAACAAGCTTTTAAAGTGTTTACATGAACAGGTGGGCTTTTTGAAATAGCATCCTCTTTAAAGTCCATGCAAAAAAGAATTTCCACGATATTGCGTTTTGTAGATTCAAGCAGTTCCCGATGGTGACGTCAAAAAGTTGTTGGAGGAACGAGCGTGGTCGGTGCAACAAACGGTGACCGCTTTAAGGAGACGAAGACGATCGGTGGCCGAACCAACAAAAAATGAAGAGAACGCAGAAAGTGAATCGATTCGAGGTCTCATGTTGGAGGTACGGTGCTTTTTAGAATAAATTTATAGTAAGGGAATTTACTTTAGTAATCAAGATATAAATATTTTTATTTTTTAAAAGCACTTTTAGGAGAAACAACTCTTGGCCGTGCAAACGAATCTTTTGGAAGAAATTGCGGTTGAGAAGAAGCAAGTCGCCGAGTTATGCTGGAGCTTGGTGAAACTCGGATATCAAACTACTGAGGTTTCTTAATCATCCTTATTCGCAAATGTATTCAATCTTAGGAAGTCTTCCCGAAAATTGAGGGAGACTCTTGGGAAAGCTTTCTAGCTGACGCTTTATTGGAGGAAGCCGCTCGCTCAACACTTATTGAAGAGGTGAGCTCAAAAGAAGTGCTTCTGGTACTAGATTTTTATCACAATAAACATTGATGCAATGTTGCTTTTTAGTTGGCTCGACTCAAATCTGAATGTGCAGTACTGCGTGCAAATCTGGAACTCGCTCAATACGATCAAAATCAAGTGACTCGCTTCTGAACATACATTTGCTAGTACCAAAAAACCAAAAACTTGTCTCATTATTTGTCTTGGTGCATAGTCTAAATGATATCCCGATTACCAATATGAAAACGGTGCATAGTTAAATGATTTTAGCATTTTAAGATTTCCACTTTGTGTATGATGTTGTTTTTTTAGAACATTCCTCCTAACAAAGCATTCTTTTGACGACATTCACTTCGAAGTATTATTGATCGAATTTTTCTCGCTAAAAGCTTTCAATTTGTGATGAGCTCTCATATCATCTGGTCCTTTGAATCGATTAAAAATTGTGCCTTGTTTTGTAAAATTTGGGTTATAACTTTCGTTTTGGGTAATAAACAATTTTGGTGTGTAAATATAAAAAGACGCTTGCTTGAATCAATTTTATGCTTTTAAAGATTTAAAACTACATTTGACGAGGGTTTTCACAGCACGCCAAGTATTTATGAAATTTTAGAAGATGTCGTTATTCAATAAGCCAAAGAAGAAGGTGCAACAACAAATTCGACGAAAGCACGATGATGACGATGACGATGAGGGCGCTAGTAAGTTTTTTTACTTCTTTTAAAAGCTATTAGCTTCAAATTTGTTTGGCATTTTAACTTCGCGATACATTTTAGGTTCGGCAAAACTCGAGGATATCAAGGACATCCAGAAAGCTCGAGAACGCAAAAATGGTCTCAATGAGGTAGTTCTTGCTTGTTAGGTATGACTCAAGCAGTAAACTTTAAGATAGAATGCGCCATCGGGAAAGAACGAGCAAAACAGTTGACTTCGGGCGAAGAAGTGCAGGTTGGTTTAAAGTCTTTGACCTTTTTTAAAGACATCGAATTCAGATGGCCGGTGGAGGAATTGTGATGACGCAACAGCAAAAAGCAAAGCTGGAAGCCAAGGACATCGAAAAGGGCATGAAAGATCAGTTCGAAAAGGAGTCATTGTTACGGTAAATGTTGATTTAGTTATGAAAAAATAGGTTAGCAGCTTGAACTGGGTGCTTTATAAAGAAAAATAAGCTTTCCCATTTAGAACAAGTGCAAAAGCTTAACCTGAGGTGCAGTACCGATTAATGCAAGAAGATAACATAATAATGTTATTTAAGAGATGAGCACGAGGAGCTGCGAAAATTCATCGAATCGGGGTTGAATAGTGGCGAGAAAATGGACACATCTGCAGGACAAAGCACAGGTCCTCCAAAACTAGGTAAGCAATTTGAGTAATGAGATTTAACTGTAATAAGATATGAAAAACTATGGAAATTCTTTAGTGGACTCAGTGTTAGCCCGAGCAGCATCAAAAGTAGCGAAATTTCGCAGTGCTGAGACGGGCGAGTTGCTCAGCAATCAAATGCTTGCCGGAATTCCCGAAGTCGATCTTGGGATCAAGTTTGTTTCTCCAAATTGGCCAAACAACTGTTTTTAGTGCTCGAATCACAAATATTTTGGAAACGGAGAAGAAAAAGAAACAATTGCTAGACGAGGCGATAATCAAAGGCCGAACAAAAGGTTTGTTGTTGGTATCCGAAAGTTTCTCAGTGCATGATTTCAGAAAATCCAATAGTGAAAACGGATGTAGAAGAAGCCGCAGCAAAAAGAAAACGTTTCTCAACCGATGAACATTAAACGTGGATTTTTGTATCATTTCTATCACCTATTTATGGTTTGATCTCGTTGTTGTACATAAAAACATGATACTCTGCCGATTCAACAAACAAACCACTTAAACTCAAACCCTTGCCTATTTATGCATACAAAACATTCATAGCACATTTACCGTGCAAATACATACGTATTATCATCAGCGTCATAGCATAGTAGCACGAGCAAATATCATACTTTCAAAAAACCACAAAAGCTATTTGATTATAGACTCGTTTCATTCATTTACTCTTTAAAGTACGAGAAGCATGATGAGCGTCGAAAACCATTTCACCCGTGACGACAAATTGCTTTTCTGGAGATTTCTGACCTACACTAGTGGGTCCGATTTATCCTAAATTTTCACTTTAAAACGTTAGTTAATGAAATCCCAACCTTACTCACACATTTGATTTTGTCCATAATGTCCACCTGATCTGGGCAATTAGATAGAAGATGATTTACTGAACGAAAGCCATTTTGAAGTTACGATAGAAAAGTAGCTAGACTCGGAAAAAGCTTCACTAATTGTTTGAAAACGCTCAGCAATTCAAATGGAATCATTACGTAGACAAATAAAATGGTTGAAAAACCCACACTTGAACTCAATGTTGATGTAGTGCCTTCGGCTGATGGATCCAAAGGGTCTTTCGGACCTTCCTTCAATTATGTGACTTTTCTCACCCGGACATTTCCCACCCATTTTTGCTATACATTTTTTTCTGTAATATAATTCTTTAGTTTTTGCGTTTCTTTTTCAATTTTCTTATTCCAGTCTTATTCTAGCTTAATGTTTTTAGTTTCGGAACTAATGGCGAATCATGCGGCTGGATACATGCCCGACATTTTGGACAGCAAGTAGGTTCAAAGTAGATTTTTGCAAATATGCTTTTTTTCTTAAGATTCAAAAAGCACCCGATACTTTTGTGGCGCATTTTAAATGACACTTGCTACATATACGAGCATAAAAAAGAGCTTTCAAAGAAAGACGGAGATTATTCATCATACAATTGCCACGGATGTGCAAAAGAAAAGAAGAAATTTGTTTGATTCTATTTCTGATGCAGATTGTTGTGATTCCTTGGACAATTTAGCACATTTTGTTAGTCCACACGATTAGTTCTTTCATTATCTTTGTTTTTTTGTTGTAAAATGCTGTCTAATTTTTGTTAAAAGTGAATAAATTTTGAAAACTATGTATAAAACTAAAGGGTGTAAAAATGTAAATTATCAAAGTACTACAAAAAGGTAGCAAAAAATGTATAGCAAAAATGAGTGAGAAATGTCGGATGGGAAATGTCCAATTACCTATGCTTATGCTTATGCTGCAGATGCTTATGCTGATGCTGCAAATGCTTATGCTGTAAATGCTTATGCTGCAAATGCTTATGCTGATGCTGTAAATGCTTATGCTGCAAATGCTTATGCTGCAAATGCTTATGCTGTAAATGCTTATGCTGCAAATGCTTATGCTGCAAATGCTTATGCTGCAAATGCTTATGCTGCAAATGCTTATGCCTATGCTTATGCTGTAAATGCTTATGCTGCAAATGCTTATGCTGTAAATGCTTATGCTGCAAATGCTTATGCCTATGCTTATGCTGTAAATGCTTATGCCTATGCTTATGCTGCAAATGCTTATGCTTCATGTTTATGCTGTAAATGCTTATGCGGCAAATGCTTATGCCTATTCTTATGCTGCAAATGCTTATGCTGTAAATGCTTATGCTCATGTTTATGCTGTAAATGCTTATGCTTATGCTGCAAATGCTTATGCTTATGTTTATGCTTTTGCTGCAAATGCTTATGATTATGCTTATGCTGTAAATGCTTTTGCAAATGTCTCGCAGCATTTACTGTGAATCTCACAGCATTCCCTGATGCTGATTTTTCTATTTCGTTCTACCTTTCGTTGTTTACTAGGAAAATTGTGAGTGTTTTGTCTATAAAATGTAGTTTTATGCGCCAAAGTCGAAAAATCTTTATACCGACCCGCTTTCATTTCGAATATGCACTTGAATTGACTAGTTTTGTTAGGGTTTTTGGGATAATCACAATAGTTTTTGAGATCAGAAAAACAATCTATTCATATCGATAATGCTATCAAAATCTACTTTTTACCCTTTGGAATATCACTGCAATTGTAGGTGTAGATGTCGATTCGGCCGGCCAGCTTTTCGCGGTTGTAGCGAGCCTGGAAATTGGCTAGCTAGCTTTTGGGTAGTCTTGTTGGTGCTTGTTGGTAAAGTTTTGTTGGTGTACTTGAGTAATCTGTAGTTTTTAGGATTTTTAAAAACCTACCTATTTTATTATCTTCAAAATATTTCTATGTGCGCGTAAAGGTCAATCACTCAAAATTTTCCACCACTCTGTTGGATTACATGTGTACGTGTAGATGTCGATCTCGCCGGCGTTCTTTCGCCGATTATACCGAGCCTAAAGCCCGCCTTATTTGGAGTTTTGTTTAGAAACAAGGCTTTCTAAAGAGGGTAGTTTTAACGGTAATGAATTATGGTAGTTTTAAAAAAAAATACAACCGAGCCCGTCTCATGCCTCAAACTCATCCGTGAATTTATTCTTCACTAACTTTGATCGATAAGCAAAGTCTGTAGATGGGATTCCGGTAGCTAGTAAATGGATAACGATAGGCTTTCCTAGAGTTAATTATGAACGGGGAAGCAGATTACGGTAGTCTTTTCCTCAGCGCACTTTTTAAGATGTAAAAGTTGAAAAAGTGCCGAATAGAAAACGTTGGTCTTGGTCAATGGCAATTCCATTCGGCGGCCTTGGTCAATGGCGATTAAAACCGGCCTTGGTCAATGGCAATTCCATTCGGCGGCCTTGGTCAATGGCGATTAAAACCGGCCTTGGTCAATGGCAATTCCATTCGGCGCAATTTTCGTTTTTACACAGCAATCTGATGGTCCCATTCTGCTAATTTATCTATGAAATATTAACTTTTTTAAAAAAAACTGTTTCATCCATCATTTGGCCAAGAAAGCAAGGAACTTTTTGGTATAAAACTTGAACGGGCTTGGTTTTTTGGATTGTGAGAAATTTGACAGCGCTGTTTTGAACGTTTTCTATTCGGCGCTTAATTAAATCTTCCTTTTTAGAAAACACAGCCAGCCCCCACTCACCTGTGGATTCTTTATGATATGATCCGCATCAAATGGCTGATCTCCATCTCGTGTTTTATTGAAAACCCATTCATTGATGCAAGAATAGCCGGCAAAGTCGAAATCCGGTACAAATTTGTTGCCCATTAGGAAACGTTTTGCGGTCTTGCTAAAATTTTGCATGAAATTGGAAAAATAAATGGAAAAGTACTTTGAAAATCAATTACCCAAGTTTGAGGTTAGCATTAACCCCGAGACCTTAACGAAGTGTATCGGACAAATTTTGGACCGCGTCTCCGTAAGGAGGTGCACTAAGCAATCGAAACCTCAACTGTTCAGTGGTTTATTGTTGAATTTGAGCGTCTTGTCGCTGATTTAAGTGTTTTGTTGCTAATTCAAGTGATTTGTTGACATTTTACATTGAAATGCCAACATAATGGGCTGTTTAAGCCGTTTGTTGCTAATTTAAATGTTTTTTCGCCTTAAGCGAGTGATTTGTTGCTAGTTTAAGTGTTTTGTGGCTAATTCTGGCTAAAGTGTTGGACTGACGCCTTAAAATTCTAAAAATCAGTACAGTATTCGCTTTTTGACTCACTTTGTTAATGATGGCGCATCTTCGATTCCAAAGACGCACTGTCCGTGTCGCCAGTTGTTCGTTTTACATTCGCCACCCCAAATTGTGTATCTGGAATTGAATTTAAACAGATTTCTGTCTTTTTTCTTATTCTTTCTCTTTTATTTCTCTTATTCTTTCTCTTATTCTTTCTCTTATTCTTTCTCTTTTATTTCTCTTATTCTTTCTCTTATTCTTTCTCTTATTCTTATTATAATTTCTTTACCTTGTCATATACCAATCATTCGTTCTCCCCGCGCACGTGTGATGAAAACCGCCCGGCATCCGTAAAGTCTCGGAGACTTGCAGTGTAGCGATGAATTGCTCATCGACACCATAGTCCTGAAATGAGAGCACTGTAGCTCTCTAGAGAACTCGAAAAGGCGACTAAGCCTAAGCCTAAGCCTAAGCCTAAGCCTGAGCCTAAGCCTGAGCCTAAGCCTGAGCCTAAGCCTGAGCCTGAGCCTAAGCCTAAGCCTAAGCCTAAGCCTGAGCAAAACGAACACTCGGTTTCCCATTGAATTGAGTGATCAACTTCTCGACGTTCACTTCTTTCGTTATCCATTTCACGGCAGCTCTCATCAGTGAGGCCTAGATTTTGCGATTATTCCTATCCAGGTTTTACTTTTGAACAGCCACTAACAGCCTTGGTCTAGCTTCAGGCTTGTTTTTGGTTCGACTCAAATTTGTTAATCTTAGCTTAGACCTGGTCTTAGCTAATCTAGTCTTACCAACTTTGGTCAGGGACAAGGCTAGAGCAAGAGTCAAGACTGAAGCCAGGACCAGGACCAGGATCAGGGCCAGGGCTAGGACCAGGATCAGGGCCAGGGCTAGGACCAGGATCAGGGCCAGGGCTAGGACCAGGATCAGGGCCAGGGCTAGGACCAGGACCAGGGCCAGGGCTAGGACCAGGACCAGGGCCAGGTCTCAGCCTAGCTCTTGACTTGATTTGGCTAAAAAAGGACACAAGATCAAGAAGAAGCTGTTACATTTTAGTAAATAGTTTGGTGGAACCTGGACTTGGATTTGGCCGGCTTGGCTGTATTGGCTGGTGCAACTAGAACCTGTTCTGGCTCTGGTACGACTTGAAATGAATTGGAAAAGATCATAAAATCTTTTCAGATATTTCAGATACATAACAAACTATCGACAGCTCAAAACAGTTCAACTCGATTTCCCATTCTCTCGTTGTTACCCCTCTCACCTGTACATATCCTTTCCCAAACGAGATCTTCGCCTTGCTCACTTCTTCTTGGCTCATCATTGTATCTAAGTATTTGCATAAAATCAATATTTATCTAAATCTACCGTACTATTCGTTATGAAACCCAATCCGGGCAATGACCAGTCCAGTTCTTTATTGATTCTTCCCCATGGTACTCCCTCGACAATCTCCACATCGTTTGTGCCCTCAATGAGCTGAAAAAGTTTAATTCTAATATATTAACTAGGTATTTAATCTATTTTTAGATTTTATATAGATTTAGAGTAAGAATAATTTTAGATATTCCAATAGAAGCATCACTTTTTTATTGTGCGCTAAAACTACCGTACACCAGCTAACTTAAAATTGTTTTGAAATTATCCAAAAGTCATTCGTCAAACAGCATCTTTAATTTTTACGTTCTTTTTATTAATTTATTCGTTTTTGTTTAGTTTATTCGTTTTTGTTTAGTTTATTCGTTTTCATTAAATAATTTTTTATTTTTAGGTAGATGTCGCCAGCTCAACAACAACAACGTCCAAGCTTTCACGACCTTGAGGAATTTCACTTGCGTCGGAAAAACGAACGGATGGTATGAATAAGGGCGCGAAGTTGCGCGAGAAGTCGATGGATAACCAAAGCAGATTTGGTAGACGGAGAACGAAAGCAGTGCAGATTTGGTAGACGGAGAACGAAAGCAGTGCAGATTTGGTAGACGGAGAACGAAAGCAGTGCAGATTTGGTAGACGGAGAACGAAAGCAGTGCAGATTTGGTAGACGGGGAACAAAAGCAGTCCAGATTTGGTAGACGGAGAACGAAAGCAGTGCAGATTTGGTAGATGGAGCTGGGAGCCAAGATCGACATGATGCCCATAGCGATGTCGTTTCGAGTGAAAACGAAGATTAGCCACTTCTTGTAACTTTAAACTTCTTGTATAAGCCACGAAAACGAAAGGCTTATACAAGAAGTTTAAAATTAAGCTGTGGAATACGTTAAGAAAATTTCAAACAAGTTTGGTGCCAATCAAACAGTGTCATCGAGAAGTTTGGTGTCAATGATTGTAAAGATAGCAAAATGATCAAATTGAGCAGCAACAATCTAGTGAATCCAAGTGTTTGAAAGGAGCCGGAAGGCATTTGACGTCAGTTGAACTAGAAGAATTACTCAAATGGACTCGTGAGCAGAGAAATGCAAAATTGAAAGTCTCAAGACGGTCGCTTCGGAAACAGGCATTGAAGTTGGTATCAGTGTCATCGATCGAGGAATTAAACAACAATTCTAGTGACAATTCAAAGATTCAAGGCTAGTGAAGGGTGGTTACGGAAGTTTATGAAACGGTACAAACTTTCTTCTCGGATTCCTACGTCGATCGCACAAAAACCCCCAGAGGAATACGAGGAAACGAAGGTCAAATTTGTACTTTACCTGCACAAATTCGAAAGAAGGAAGCTTATGATCTGATTTACACGGCAGATGAAACAGAAATTTGGCTTGGTCCAATGGCTTGGACCAGTTTTTGAATCGTTCTGTAAATTTGGATATAAGCCTAATTTTTGATTCTCTACAACTTTTCCATTGACACCAAAATGGGTTTCTTTTGAAGAAAGTGCTCAAACTGTCACATATGACAATAGCCGGCAGTTTTCAATTCACCAACCCAATAAATAACATAACTATATTATATCTTGTTTTTTGGCCCAAAGATGGCTGAGAAAAAGCTCGTACAGATGGACAGACACTACTTTTTTATATATAGTAAATCTCACCTTGAACATCTCAGCCATTTCCCGGTGAGTATGCAAAACGACGTCGAATGTCTGAAAAAAGGTACTGTACTTAAAAATAAACCTTATGAACAACCCATTTCCATATTTTTCTTTTTACAATCCACCCACTTGTTGCAATACAAGATATTTCCAATCGGGTTGCTCGATCAAAACCGTCATACAATCGTAGTGACCCCGATTAATGTTGTGGCCGGCCGAGTCCATCACGTTTTTCTCTGAAAATACCTTTTTATACTAAAAACATCAGAGTTTTACGATACAGTAAATTTGATAAAAATTGATCTTCAATGAAAAAATTGGCGTCATGCTTTAAAAAGGAGAAAACGGATGGTTTAAGACGCTGCTTCCTAGCTGAGGAAAGGTACCTTGGTGTCCTAGTGGATAACGCATTAGGCTTCCGCTCAAAGGATCAGGGTTCGGTTCCAGCTTGTTTTTCTTTTGGAATAACTTCTAGCATTTTGCAGCTAATTTCATTATGGTTTTTCTTTTAATTTCTTCGATCGTATATTGTTTACACAATTTGCACATATTCCTTGTAAATTTACACTAAAATTTAACATTTAAATGTAAAATAAACAGTCTTTTCAAAAAAACCAACTAAAAGAAATGAACAAAAATGAAAATCGATATGGTGCGGGCGAAAGGTTAGTGCGTTAATCCACTAGGCCATAAACGTGCCTTTTCTCCGCTAGGAAGGAGCCTTTTAAAGCATCCGTTTTAACGCCAAATTTTCCATTGTCTTCCATTGTTTTACACGTCTGGAAAAAATCATTTGGCAGATTTTCATTTCAGATTCGGATTCCTCATACTCAATTCTATAAAGTACATTGGGACTCAATTCTATAAAGTACAGACCAAAGCTCAGCTTGAGTTCGTGTCTTGTAAGAATTTGAGCAAATCTGGCAAAGATTTTCACAAAACATGCAAATCAGACGCAAAACTTTGGTCTGGCTTGGCTACAAAAGCACTAGATCAGTCAAGAACGAGAGCCAGCGCCGATTCAAAAGAGTTATCCGGATTGGCAATTTATCCGGATTGGCCAGAGGTCCGGATTGGCAAGTTATCTGGATTGGCCAGAGATCCGGATTGGCAAGTTATCTGGATTGGCCAGAGATCCGGATTGACCAGAGATCCGGATTGGCAATTTATCTGGATTGAGAGAGCAATTCTGGATCCAGAGCTACTTTAGTTTTTTGGCTGTAAGTACTGAAGTTCAACGCCTTTCTGGATATCTTCAAACTTTGAATTTCAATTGAAAATAGATCTATCCAATTTCCATTCATTTACAGACTTTGGCATGATCTACGTGTTTCAGTCTTGTTTTTTTCCCTTCATTTCTTTCCTTTCCCCACCTGGCGGCGTGTAAACATTCGGCAAACAGGCAGCCAACATTCGAATTTTCTGCTGGAAATCTCGTGGAGCTTTTGAATCAGTCGAATAACAATAGTGATTCTCGAAGCTGTATGAGGCGGCCAATTGCATTTCGAGGTATTCATAGGCCTGGGATTTTATAGTTTACATAGTTTACTTTACACTTCAAAACAAAGCCTTCTAGTCTACTCTGAAGCCTACAAACAAAGCCTTCTAGCCCACTCTGAAGCCTACAAACAAAGCCTTCTAGCCTACTCGGAAGCCTTTACTTTACTTCTTTACTTCCCCCGAATACAAGGAAAAGAATCTAGTGAGCTAGAAGGGGTGCGTTTAAGCACAAAGTACACGCAAGGAAAGTAAAAATCACCTCATGTACATCTCTGGCAAAAGCGATCGAATAGTTGATCTTCTCTTGTTCACTTCTTCCCATTAACACTCGATCACGAATCCCCGAACAGGACATGTCCAAATTGGGGTTAGGCTGGAAAAATTGGGCTAAAGATAGAAGTAGAAATAGGCCTTAGAAACTGGTCCATTTCCGGGCCGGAAATGTCCCGGAAATGGACCAGTTTCTAAGACTAGTTGTTCAGTTCAAATGTCCAGATTAAAGCCAGATACTATCGTAACTCAGTAGTAAAGACTAGAGTAAAAGCTGACAAGGGAAAGGCACCGAATCAAGCTAGTTTTTTGACTCGAGACCAAGTCCATCTTATAGGATTGGTCATGGGGATCGTGAATCTGTTTTTAGTTTTTGCAGAACGCTTCGCAAACGCGAGATATCTCTTTAAGAAGCCGTCACACGCTACCTCAGCAGCTGCTTCAGTGTCCTAGTGGATAGTCTGCTAGACTACCGAACCGATCAGATTTTTCGCCTCCAAGTTCGAGTCCCACTCCCGTCAAAATCTCGGTTTTAAAAAAAACCGTTTTTTTACGTATTTGCAAAGAATAGTAGAGTTGAATTTTATGCCTTTTATTGATTTTATTGACTCTAGTTTTATATACCGCAGCTTTGGAGCTTTGGCGAGAGTGGAACTCGAACTTGGGGGGCAAAGATCTGACAGATCTGACAGGACAGACAAGATCTGACAGGTTCCGTAGTCTAGCAGACTATCCACTAGACCACCGAGGCATCAAAGCAGCGTGTTAACGGCTTCTTAAGGAGGTTGGGGCTGGATTTTGGGCGCGTACTGAGTCCTAAGGTCTAAAACGAGGTCTAAAACGAGATCTAAAACGTGCCCGACTTATCGTCGCCCGTAAAAGACGCTACCGCAACCCAGTTATGTAGTTAGGATTACAGTAACACTTAGAGAATGCAAATAGACATAAATTGATCGGATAACGAACTATCAATGGGATTCGTCCTTTCGAGAATTTCTCTGTATAATTGACATCTCCGCTGATCACTCGCGCACAATCCACCGAAGCCACTTCAGGTCTTCTTCTAAAGATATCAAATAGATAAAAATAGATAAAGTATATTTAAGTGTTTACCTAAAAAGCAAAATTTGCTTTGTCGGGATTTTTTTCAGCGGTTCGCCGTTGGTCAACTTCAGAAAACCGCTCCTCAGATTAAACACTAAATTTTGCATTTTTGAGTACATCTCCATACACTTTGTGCTTAGCTGTAAACGCACGCTTCCTGGTGCACCCGAATTCTTCAACTTACCTCCAAAATTGACAAACTCGAGCTGATTGAGGAGGAAAAAAAGCGCGAAGCCGAGAAGAGCGAAACGAGCTCGATCAAGCCACCGAGTGGAGCCATTTCCGTTTGAGGGTCTCTAGAAAAGAAAAATTGGGCAACAAGTCGGCAACTAGTAAAATTCATGTTTCTGAAAAAAGCTATCAAGTTTTTGGCTCGCCTTCGATTAAATTCGAGCGAATTCGAGCGGTTAAACAACCGCTCGAATTCGCTTTATTTTAACTTTACAATAAGAATGAAATCTTTTAATTGATAACATTAGATTGAAACTTTTCTCACTTGAAACCTTAGAACAACGCCGTCTTATCATAGATTTCGTTGAGTGCTTTAAAATTGTAAAAGGAAAACATCAAAACCCTCTTTTTAAAAACATCAAAACCCTCTTTTTTCGACTAAACTCGAGGCTTTTGGCGACTAGGCGTGGCTCTTTAATATAAACGTCTACAAAGAAATTGACTGAATCAAATTCTCTGAAATTTTAACTATATACAAATCTTTTTGTGCTCTATCTTTTATCTATTGACATCAAGATAGGTTTCCTTAGCTAAAGTGTGTCTTTTCTAAAGCTAAAGTGTTCGTCCCATCAAGACGTCACCCATTTTGACTACCCGACTTCAGGCTTCCAAAAAAAGCCAGACATAAGACATTTTAAACCAGCTTTAGTGTTATTTTGTAGAAAAATGATTGGTTTTTCTAATGAAACAAACAAAGAAACAAACTTTCTAATGAAACAAACAAAGAAACAAACAATTGGTGCAATTAGGTTCAATTAGGATCTGGTCATTTATATAATCGTTTATATAATCATTTATATAATCGTTTATATTATCGTTTTTATCTTGCATCCTGAATCTGCTTTCTCTAAATCATCTAGAGCTTTTTTCGTAAAGATTAAAGTTTGGAATGCCCTTCCCGACAAGTTGCGTTTGATCTCCACCGTGTCTGATTTTAAAAGGGCTATTTCGTTTCATTTTAAGTGACTTTGTCATCTTTTATCTAGTACATTTTTCATGTCGTTTTCGCACTTTATTTCTTTCTGAATAAAGTATTTATAACACAAAATAACAAAAAATAAACACAATCGCAGCAATCATTTTGCATGAATGAATAAATCATTTCGCAAAAACGGATAGCAGCATCAGAAACAGCGCAAAATTTTGCGTCGTATGGTATATGGCTCATTTCACTTGGCCATCTCTGCCTTGTGACCTTCACTTGTCAGTTACTTTTCACTTTTTCTAAAAAAATTACTAACAAGGCAAGGATGTAGCCAAATGAGATCGGCCATCGACCATTCGATGCAGAATTTTACGCTGATTCTGAATCTGTTTTCCATTTTTGCAAAATGACTTTCTATAAAAAGTTATACGTGTTTTAAGTGTAAATGCGAAAATTTGCAGCCGAATCGGGATGCCTTTACAAGGGTTCTCTCACGGGTCGCAAACGTGATCAGAGCCTGTATGCTATGCTCTGTGAAAAGTTCCGGTGGCGTCTCTGATCTTTACGGCGGCACCTTTGATCTTTTCGGTAAAACGTCCACGGTTTTCCCGCGGAGAGTGCTTTTCCTCGGAAAGTACTAGCGGAAAGTTTTACCGGAAACTTTCTGGAAGAAAAGAACCCTCCGCGGGAAAACCATGGACGTTTTACCGGAAAGATCAAAAGTACCGCCAAGTACAAAAGTGGAACGGAACATAAGTACAGTAGCTGCACTGAGCGTCCGCTACGCGGTCACACTCTACCTAGAGGCACTGATGGCACGTAGCACAAATCTGATTGCAGATTCGGATTCCTCGTCCCCGAAAACCCCCAAGAACAAATTCTCAGCTTTCTAGCTCACTTCGTTGTAATTTTACGTTAACGTATTTTGTATTGTTGCGTAGGCGTGACAGACAGACAGATAGAGAGACAGACAGATAGAGAGACAGACAGATAGAGAGACAGACAGATAGACAGACAGACAGATAGACAGACAGATAGAGAGACAGACAGATAGAGAGACAGACAGATAGAGAGACAGACAGACAGACAGATAGACAGACAGGTAGACAGACAGACAGACAGACAGACAGACAGACAGACAGACAGACAGACAGACAGACAGACAGACAGACAGACAGACAGACAGACAGACAGACAGACAGACAGACAGATAGACAGACAGACAGATAGACAGACAGCCTTTTTATTTTTTTGTATATAGTAGATATTAGAATTACTCGAAATCTAGAAAAAAAATTAGATAAATAACTCTATTTTTACATATTTACACGTATTTACCTTAGTAATTTTTTAGAAAAACTCAACGGTAACTGAGCATCGATTTTCTCGGCATGAAGACATGAATTTTACCAGTTTTTATTTTACTATTTTACTAACAACAGGTCTAATTTTAAGCTGATCATCACCAGTTTGGCTAATCCATTTAAAAGGCACCAAAAATAACCAGTTTTCCATTCAATCAGCCAATTTTGGTGTGAATGATTGAGTCTGGTGATTCCTCTGGTCAAATATCAAAATAATACCAAAATAAAGCTGATCAAATGTAAACTGGCGGTTGGATTACAATAGTTTTCTAAAATCGATGCCTTTTAGTTGTATTGGGTTGGGGACTATGACTCGGCGCCGAAAATCAAAAAAATGTCTAAAACTTCTATTCGACTTCGTCAAATAATATGCGTTTGATATCAGTAGAATGGTTAACTAACTCTATACAAAACGACATTTAAAAGAAAATTCAAACAGCGCCTCCGCTCAAGAAAAAGCCATTTTTTCACAAAAACTACAAACTGTCATCTAGAGTAAACGGTTGGAGGCATCTTCCTGAAAATTTGGTAACTTATGTAATTCAGTATGCTCTATCTTTTTTATATAAACACCAAAGAAGGTTTATGTGAAAGAAACTGTTCAAATGATGAGTCGGGCTCTTTGCCATTTTGACTAGCTGTGTTTGGGAGTCCATAAACTCCACGAAAGAAAAGCTTTGTGGAATCTCTCAAAAGTGATTTTGTAGAGAAATAGTGGATCCTTTTGATGAAACCAAACGTATGTTTAAAGAAGGCTTTATGTGTGCAAAAAGTCCCTTTAAAGTTCGGCGCCGACTCATTCTCCCCAACCCAATAGTAAACGCTAGAACGCTAGAAACGCTAGAAAAGGGATCACTGTAGTATAGTAAGAGGAAATGGGCACTAGTCAGTGTGCCAGCCGGCTTGCGAACATATACTATACAAAAAAAAAGAACGCACATGTATCCCAGTGTGCCAAATTGACGGCGTTTCGGTGTTCGAGAGCGCACAAACCTCATTCTGCTGTTCGACGTCGCTGTACTCGTTGTTCAAGCGTCGATACGAGATGGCCATTGCCCTGAAAATAGACAAAGATTTAAGAAAATCAATATTTCAAATGAAAAATCAAATGAAAATTGAAAATGAAATCGAAGAAACTTTCAGAGAAATGAATTTCAAAGTAAAAAGCAGCATTTGAAAAGATTTCCATCAAAATTTCGCTGTCAAATTTGAAATTTTAAGTGTTTTTCCGGTAACCGTGGAAATAAAACGGAAAGAAAATGAAATAGAAATAGAAATAGCATTTTAAATGTTGCATAATGTAGATATAGAATTTGAAAATCGGAAAAAAAAACGCTAAAATTGAAATTTTGAAAGGTAGAATTTTGAAAACAGTGAAATTTTGAAAATTTTCTTTGCGATTTCATCTTTTCCTGACCTCGTTCGCGCGTTTTTTTTTCTACCTTATTCAACAAAAAATGAGTCTTAAAAGACAAAAAAGCCTAAGAAAGCCTAAAAAAAGCCCAAGGTGCCAAAACAAAGATAAAGTTACGGTCGACTCTCTCTATAAGGAATAGTTAAGATATATATATTTTTTTGATCTGTCTTCGCACTTAGGTGCTCCTATTGGCGCAGATCACAACCTGCTTCCACATTTCACATTCCACAGGTCTACAATTTCTCGGATTTTATAGACGTTGATGAGGATTTGTGCACTGCTGGAATATTTTCCACTCAGCACACCACCAAAACACGGCAACAAGATGAAGAAAGTGACGATGACGAATGGCAACAACGTGGAATCACCAATTATTACCATACAAGATGCTGGCAAAGCTGTCGAAATTTTTAGAGCAAAGCGGCACCTCTAAAGCTATGGATCTTGCGGGAAAAATCAAATAAATGAAGATATTCGCCGTTCTCAAAAAAGCAAGATAACGTATTTTTTCTACAACTTTATAAAAGTTTAGTTTAACAATATTTGTACGTTGTTTTTATTATGAATTCATTTTTTAGAAATGAAAAAAAACACTTATGTAAATTAAATTGCATTGAAAAACTGTATAACGGAAAAAATTTTGTACTCGAAAGGCTCTCTCTATATAACGGAAGCTCTATATAACGGAAATTCTATATAAGGGAAATTCTATATAACGGAAACTCTATATAACGGAAACTCTATATAACGGAAATTCTATATAACGGAAGACTATATAACGGAAACTCTATATAACGGGAATTGGAACGGAATAGAAAGTCGACTGTAAAATATAAAATACCGTATTCTCTCTAATAGTAGTGCGCACTACTATTTTTTCAACCCCCTCCTGGACCGCAATACTATTAGAGAGTGCACTACTATTAAAGAGTTTTATCATTTACCAAAGTAAGACTTGTTTCTTTGTTCCAATATAAGATTTGTTCCAAAAATTCTTGCAAAAAAAGTAACTTTCTAAAAATTTATTGGCTTCTGATAACAAAAAGTTAACTAAACAAAAAAATCTACAACAGAATCATCATCCTTATCCAGTTCAATATTTTTGCGTTGATCCTTTACTCCGTTGATCGATTGTTCGAGACGAGCATTGGCGAGAAGTGTTGCGCCTTCAGGAATCGGTCCTTCTTTTTTGAAGCAATGAATGAGACCAATTCCTCATCACCTTTCCACATTAACTTGGCTCGGAATTGAATCATTTTTCACTCGCATCTTCTTTGCCCGCATTTCTTGAATCCAAGTAACAAGATCCTTGTCAAAATCGAAATCCTTGAGCTTTCGTCCACCGCCTTTGATTCGTTTTTTTCCTTTTCCGTTATCTCTGTTTTGTTTCTCGAGTTCTTCCTTTTGCTGACACCATTTTTGGATGTTTTGACGACTGACTCCAAATTTTCGCGCTGCAGCCGACTTATTCTTTATTTTTTCAGCAAAATCGATCGCTTTCAGCTTTGTTTGAACGTCGAAACATCGTCGCTTTTTCGCGGATGGTGCATCCGATTCACACGAAGACTCCTCGGCAACATCATTGGCCATGTTGTAGCTAGCGTCTTGCTCGGTCACTTGATTGTGGATCCTCTTGAAGAATTGCACATGTTTCTCGTGTTCACGACGAGCTCGAAAATTCTCGAATCCATCAAGCGAGTTCCCATCGAGATCCATGCCTAAAGAAAAAGATTATTTGGACAATAGTAAAGGTGACCAACAAAAATTATATAATATTAAAATCGAACATGATGGATTATTTTCTAGGATTGAGCTTTGATAACAATAAAGTTAAGCGCCACAAAAGGTAAGTCAATCTCAAACTTTATACAGGTATATAAGAGCAAAAAATGACTATAGCTTTGCGCGGAATTCGAAAGAAAATTTGAGTTAATGTACCACTAAAACAACGTGCAGAAACAACAAAAAGATGTTTTGGCACTTTGCACAACAATTTTAGTTTTTTTGCTAACTTTTTCATGTGAAGAATAGTTAAAAAATGAATAAAAAAGCCTCGCTTTTGCTTGCTTGAATAGCTTTAGAATGCAACATAAACATAAAGATATTCAGTCAAAAAGATTGAGATGAAAAAGGAGCACAATAAATGCAAATTTTTGAGGGTGCACTACTATTTTCTCTCGGACCGCAATACTATTAGAGAGTGCAATACTAATAGAGAGAATACGGTACTATAAAACTCTATAAAATATTATTCTAATATTTACAACTAATAAATTATTCTAAAAAGATATTTAAGAATCAATGAAAGAATTTTTCATCATCAATTTGCCGTTTTTTGTGCTCAAGCTTAAACGCGCGCTTTCTGGAATCGAGCTCAATGTGCCAAATGTTGTAAAACAGCTAAAGGACGCAAGAACTTGGGTAATTGAACCGGCCGAAGGGGAGTTTTCGGTTGCTTACCTTAAAGCAGTGTGTCAGATTCCGATTTTTCCTCCGAGGGGACATCAAAAGAACGCACAGAGAAGAACTGTGCGTTCTTTTGCTGTCTCATGAAAAACGGGATTTGGCACACTGTTCTCGTTTCGTTTTCGGCTGGTTAATTACTCAAATTTACTGTTTAGCTACTTTGTTTAGAACTAGAAAAACAAAAAGAGCAGTGCACTAGATGGCGAAAGTTTACGCAAACCTACAAAATACATGGCAATAATTAAACTGGCTTGTTGGCTGAATATCTTTCAACTTTAAAATTTAAATTCTAATGTACTCTTTAAAATATTCATTTATAAAGCTTTTATAAATAAAACTTTTATAAAAATCAGAAAAAATAATGCTTTGTTTGAGGAAAATGGGTTCAAGAGTAGAATTCGAGAATAGAATTCAAGAATAGAATTCAAGAATAGCGATTCGCAAAATTGTGGATTTATTTAACGTGAAAGCTAATCAAATAAGGGAAAGTTCCTAAAATTTTCGCAAAAAGAAGCATTCATTTTGTTTCAAAAAGGGAAAAGCTGCATAAATATTCAATGTCAGACAAAAAAAATCCTCTTTTCTATAGCTTTTGCCTAAATATCATCGAAGCAAATATAAAAAAAAGCCATTAAAAGTTATCAAAGTGAGAAAAAGTAAAGAAAAGCAAAGGAAAGCAAAGAAAAGCAAGGAAAATCCAGAAAATCAAAGAAAACCAAAGAAAATCAAAGAAAATCAAAGAAAAGTAAAGAAATGGAAAAGAAATAGCTATGTATTGGGTTGATGGAAAAGTCCTTTCCGATTTTTTGGGAGAGTACCTTAAATTTGTCGAATTTTGACGTTTTATAGCTCATCCTAACGCTGAATTCAAGACGGATCGATTGGTAAAAACTTTGAGATATCTCTTTTCTAAATGTTTTTACAGCTATTTTAGTAAAGGGCGGCAGAGCCAAAAAATGGCTGTTTTCACGTTTCGTTAGTTTTCCGTGCAGAAACCTAGGCTAAAAACATGTTTTTCGTGATCAGCGTCAAAAATAACCCCTAGACACGCATTTTCAGAATTTTAGCAAAAAATTTTTGAAAAATATTGTCACCGGTGGAAGTCGAACCAGCGACCCTCAGATCAATACATCAAAAGAACGCACGATTGCCTCTGAAGAACTGTGCGTGCTTTTGCTGTCTCTCAGGGGGAAAAAATCGAATCTAGCACACTGAGCTGGATGCCGAATCTTCATCTGGGTTGTCCTTTCCTGGTTCAATTACCCAAGTTTCACTAAATAGACACGGTATGCGAGAAAAGATGCGTTTGAGCACAGATAATTGAGCACAGAGAACATCAATTTGCCAGCATTTTGTTGAGTGGAAATGTTCCAGCTCCAGTTCCGTTCCAGTTCCATTTTACCAGCATTTTTCAGCATCCAACACAGAAAACAATAATGGAAAAATCTTTTATCGGAAAAGAAAAGCAAAAAGAGAAAAAATTTGGCGTTAAGACGGTTTTTTAAAAATTCATTTCCTTTTTTGTGATCTTTCAAAAAAAAGGAAACCTTTGTGAGTTTTAAAAAAAGGAAAAGAATCGCAAAAAAGGAAAAGAGCTCAAATTTTGGATGAACAAAAGGAAGTGAAACAGAAGAGAAAGATCTTATTGAAGAAGATCTTATTAGATTGGAGAAGAATGATCGTTTTGATGAGTCTCTTTTACGGACTTAAGAATTGAGATTTCAATGTGAAAATGTTGAGTTTCGCTGAAGCGCTGAAATCGCTGAAATCTTAAAATCGACCTTAGATGCTTGTCTTCAAGCGCTTGTTTAACATTGTTTAACATTACCCTTCTTCCTAAACACCATAGCCTTAAAGTTTCATAGCCTTTCATAGCCTTTCATAGCCTTTCATAGCCTTTCATAGTCTTTCATAGCCTAAACACGATAGCATACACCTAAGCCTTAAAAATGACTCGTTAAGCTGTTTTAATCAATCAATTATGTGGTTATAAATGAATGAATATCAAAAAAATCTTTTAAAGCTTCAATTTTAAAGCTTTAAAGCTTCAAAGAAAGAGAGATCAAGCTGGAAGGTCACTAGAAGATGTCACCTCCTACACCTACCTCGGAAGAAGCATCAACATGGAGGGAGACCTAAGACCAGAAGTCGCCAGAAGAAGACGAGCAGC